CTCTTCACACTATGCCTGTGACCCTCTCTCATCTCGCTGCCCCTGATGCCACCGACACAGAGTACTCATTTCCAAGTTCAGCTTTCAGAGCGGTGTTATGAAGCCATTAGGAAAGGAGCCGATCGCCTGGGTGTGACTCTTCTTTCCACCCCTCAGTGGGTATGAGACCAGGACAAGCTGTCTCAGTCTGCTCACCAATGAAGCGGGGTGAATCTAGTCTCTACATTGGTGAGGACAGGCTGTGCCCTGGAGCGGGGGAGCTGGAGAGCACTCGATCATTGGCTGTGACAGCTGTGTATGCATTTAAAATGTGTCTTTGCATTTTGAAGAGCTTAGCACAAGTATTCAATATTGTTAGCTATTATTGACCCACAAAAGTGTAAGCTGTTAATCCCCCAGCATAGTCTGGGTGAACTGACAAAACATCTTTTTGCAGTCCTACTGATCATTGATCATTGATCGTGTACAGCAACTGCCACGTCTCCAAGGAATAACGTTAGCCTGTAGGGTCTTCTTTTCACTTTCAAGATTTCCTTTATAAGGTAAGGCAGTTTTTCATGCTAAGATGAACAATTTTGATGAAACTGGGGGGGAAAAAGCCTGTCAGCAATACTAGCTCACTCCAGAGTGATTTCATAAGCTATCTGGATCCATAGTGTAACAGCAAAGTTGATTAGGAGGATTAGATTATTGACAGCTCTTCTACTCAGAATTCAGGGTCAGGATTTTCTCTTTGGTACATGCTACAGAGAATCAGGAAGGAAGATACATGTGACCTTGAAAGGCTAATCCTGAAACTTCTCAAGGTTACTGGGAGAGTTCAACAATCAGACTAAATTTTGTACTTAGTCTGATATTTCTGCACAAAATAGATTAAAAGTACCTGAGATTTAAGGGGCACGGTCTAAATTTCTGTTAAACTTGGATCTGAGTCTTTAATCCTATGATGTGGAGTAAGAGAATTTCTAACTTCTAAGCCTTGGGTTCCTCATCTGCAAAGTCGGGTATTAGCTCTAGAGGTGAGGATTAAATGAACAGTGAACAATTAAATCCTTACTGTGAACTGGGTTTACAGAAACAGCAGTTAACAAACCAGACCAGCTTTCTGCCCTCCTGCACCTTCCTTCTGTCCTAGTAGGCAGAACAGGGGAGAAAAGAAGCAAGCTGTTACAAATAAGACAAGTGCTTTGAAGAAAACAACAGGAATAACAAGGTACCTATTTTTGACAAAGGTGGCCAGAGAAAGCATGCGAGGAGGTGATAGTTAAGCCAAAGCCCAAAGGATAAGGAGGAGGTATGGGAGAACTCCTCCAAGGGGAGGGCACAGCCCATACAAAATTCCTGAGTAAGAACGGAGGACTTGGCTTGGCAGTATTATGAGCAAAGGGTAGAATGGCTGCAGATGGACAGGAAGTGGGTGGGTGCCAGGTGACACAGGACTTTGTAAGCTGTGGTAAGTTGGCTGTACTCCCTCTGCCAAGTGGTGCCATGAACACACTTCCTGATGTGGAGAACCCACTCGTAAGGGCAGGTACACCCAACAAACCAATTGGGGGCACTACTTCGGCAGTCCAAACTAGGGCAGTGGAGCTGGCGCGAGGTGCTCATTTCTGGTAGTTCAGATTTAGACGTGACAACACTTGCCATTGCATTAAACATGGAGTAAGAGAATAGAAGGGGCTCGGACACATTTGGTTTGAGCACGTGGGTGCAAGGGAAGAATGAGAGAAATAGGTTTGGCTGTACGGTGTTGAGAAGGGAGGGGAGTATCCATTCTATTTTGGACATGCAAGATTTGAGGTGCTTGTGAGATAGATACACAAGAGAAGACACCGAACAGGCAGACTAGAACTCAAAGGAGAAATTTTAGCAAAAACTATGTATTAATAAATTTGGACATCATCTAAATTTGAATGAGATTTAAATAGGGCCAGTGTAAGCTAGAAGGCATGCTCTGCCCTGAAATTCCAATATTAAGGTCAAAGACCACAGAGAATCAAACAGTATTTTAATAAGCTTTGAAGTTTATATCCGCAACTAACAATAAATGGGAGCAGACCCGCAAGAGAACCTAAAAGTCTTCAAAGAAAGCAACTTTGTCCCTAGAAACCTAAGATACTAGTATGCTTACATTATAACTTTGCAGTCAGGCCAATTTCCTTGCTAAAATGAAAAACTTTGTCTGTTTTAAGTAATAATTTTCTCTTTTTTGATTGATTTGAGAGAGGGAGGAATGGAGCAAGAAAGAGGGTGAAAAATAACAATTTGCTGTTCCACTTATTTATGCATTCCATTGGTTGCTTCTAGTATGTGCCCTGGAATTGAACCCACAACCCTGGTGCATTAGGACAACACTCTAATCAACTGAGCCACTCAGCCAGGCCTGTCTTAAGTAAATAATTTTGAAAAGCAGTATAATTCCTAAATAATCAAATATCAAAACTCACTGGGTTTTTAGTGCAGACTTCTTACACGTACGAAGTAGCCTCATGGCATTTCAAGCACACAGCCACACGCTGCATGCGCAGGTGTTGTGTTCTGTTAGGTACTCCACTCCCCAACCAGGCATCGGTGGCTTAGCTCCTCTTTCAGGCCCAAAGGTCAAAACCTGCATGTCATCAGTTAGGTGGTCCAAACATAGAGACTGGACATCTGTTTTATCAGGAGGTCTACGCTGCTGCCGCAGCCACACAGAGGCTGAGTGTAAAATGTGATGAGGAAAAAATGCTGTGTGGCATCTCTACCCTCCACTGGGCCCCCCGTGGTGCCCACGGCCTTGCTGACAGAGCGATAACCTGTAATCACAATGCAGACATAAGCGATGCCGCAGCAGCAGCAGCAGGAGCACGTGAGGCCAGCTCAGCAGCTTGCCCTGCCGGACAGGTGAAAGCCCGCAGTACAGAGAACTTAATGCCAACCGCAGCAACAAGATCACTGACATGCCCAGGCAGCACTCGACAATGAGGCAAAGCTTCAGAAGGGTGGATAAACATGCGTGGTGCCACTTACATGTGGAACAAAAGAAAAAAAAAAGTTGGAGCCATAAAGAACAGTAAACAAGTAGTTACCAGGGGCTGAGGGGTGGGGGAACTACAGAGAGGTTGGTAAAAGGATACAAACTTTCAGTGATACGACAAATAAGGTCCGAGCATCTAGTATGTAACAAGGTGACTACAGTTGATAACACTGTCCTGTACAGTTGAAATTTCCTGAGAGAACCTAAATGTTCTCACAAAAAAAAAAAAAAAAAAAGATTTGAGAGGCGATCGATGTGTTAATGAACTAGAGGAGGGAAATCCTTTCACAATGTACATCAAATCATCGATTCCTAGTGGGCAATTAGAATATCTTAGAGCAGCAGTCTGCAATTTTCTTGGCACCAGGGACCAGTTTCATGGAAGACAATTTTTCCATGGACACGGGTTGGGGGGGACGGGAGGCCAGCGAAACTTCACTCGCTCCCCTGCCGCTCACCTCCTGCTGTGCGGCCCTGTTTGTAACAGGCCATGCACTGGTACCAGTCTGTGGCCTGGGGGTTGGGGACCCGTATCTTAGAGAACACGACATCTGAGTATGCACGTGAACTATGTGTTTGAATCACCATAAGACTACTTTGCCAGGCATAAGCAGTCTACACTGTTTAGTACACTTTAAATAATTTTACAGGCCTGGCTGGTGTGGCTCAGTGGCTTGAATGGCGCCTGGGAACGGAAAGGTCACCAGTTTGATTCCGATCAGGGTGCATGCCTGGGTTGTGGGCCAGGTCCCTGCTTGCAGGTGTGCAAGAGGCAGCTGATCGGTATTTTTCTCTCTCTCTTTCTCCTTCCCTTCCCCTCTCTCTAAAAATAAATAAATAAAATTTAAATAAATAATCTTACAATTTTAATTGTTAATTATACATCAGTAAATCGAGGGGCGGGGGGTGGGGAAAGCCCACAAGCTGGAGACCCAAGCAGAGCCAACATTTCAGGTCTGAGTCAAGGCTAGAAAAGACCAATGTCCAGCTCATGAGTCAGGCAGGCAGAGTTTACAAACAAACACATGCTAAAGAGTCCTCCTGAAGCTGTAAGGTGCACAGTCCTTAACTCCCCCAGAGAAACTTAATTTTACTCAGCCAACCTGTGTCTACCATTGAAGAAATTCAAGCAGGACCAGCCAAAAACCGGGGTAGAGAACAGGCACAAGGCTTTGTCTCCTTGAAGATAACAGAAGGGTGGTGAAGGGTGGCAGGCCCTAGCACTCCAGGGGCAGTTCCACAGAGCACAGTCACCGACCTGTCAGACACATGAGCAACCTGTGCAATGAGACTCTGCGTGGCCGACACCTACCCACTAGGAGAGGGGTAGGAGCGTTAGTGACCCGGGGTGGCAGCAGCCAGAAGGCCATGAGCACCCAGAACCCCTGAGGTTGCTTCTGCAAAAAGTAAACAATAACATCTGCTTTTAAAAAACCTAAGTACATACATGTATTAATAGTTTCTCCTATGCATGTGCCAGTTCCCTCCATTTGCTCCCACCCCGACCCTCCCTGGCTCATCCTCGTCCTTTCTCTGACCTCCAGCACCAGCCCTCTCCCCCCTCCCCCCTGGTTCCGACTGGGTTCGGCTACTGCTGGCCCGTGGCGGGTCGGACACGTGTCCGCTGTAGCACCATCCTCACTGCCAGGAGCAGCTCTGACTCCCACCAGACAGCCTGCCTGGCCCCCTCGACCGTTCAGACCCAGGCAGGAACCGCTTCCTGCGGTTGCTGCCCACCAGTCGTCCTGGGTCCTTGACATTCTTACTGGGTCCCTGAGTCCTCTCATTAGCTTCTCCACAGAAGTCCCTAGGAGGGCGTGTCCCACCAGGACCGGGACCCAGCACCCCCTACCCTATACTGCTTGGCGCTCTCCCAACTGAACACAGTGCGGTCCCCCCGGGTTTTTATCTGACTGCACGGTATATTCCCATGGGATCCTCTCAACCTTCAAATGAAACACCACAGAGCCGGACGAGAGAGTTCAACATTTTATATACGGAAAGATCAGTTTTCCAACATTCAACTGAACGAGTGCATGGCGTTTGCACAGACTACCACAGAGCTACATCAGTACAAAACCATTTAAATTAGTAAAATAAAGCAGTTTCAGAAGGAAAATCCTGGATTACTTCAGGGTGAGTGCCACCACCGGTTGGGAACAGAGGACATAGGCAGCAGGGTGGTTACTGCGTAACAGGGGGACAGGCCAGCAGGTATAAAATCCTTGTCTTCCTCTGCAGAGCGAGGCCCGGGCTTTAGGGCACTTCCCTGTCAAGGACACAGAGGAGCAGCAGAAATGTGTCACCTTATTTATGCTCATCTGTTGGGATGACATATCCACCTCGGCCACAGTGACACTCTGGAGCTCGGCTTGGCGCCAGCCCTGTGCGTATCTGATCGAAGGATTCAGTGCACACTACAGGACAGGGAGCGATGGGAACAAGAAAGAGGGACACAGGTAACCGCATGTGGCGCACACAGAATCAAGTTCTCTACCCGTGGTCCTAGAGGCCTTTAGTTTGGCCCGCTGACTTTCTTTTTAACCTCCAAGTTACCCAGCCAATCAGAGGACCGCAAGGCGTGGCGCGTGATTAACTAGAAAAGTGTGTGTGCGTGCACGGGCACGTGTGTAGGGGGGAGGTGGAGGCTCAGCCTCACCGGAAGGCACTGTACAGGCCACTGAGAAGTTTTCTGGGGCCTTCTGGGAACCCTGCTGGGACATGCCCTGTATTTTTTTCCTGCCCATCTGGACAAAGCTTATAAAACACCAGCGAGTTAAAAAATGTTTTCTTCACCCTCTTTACGTAGATATCCTGGACCCTTTTTCTTCTGTTCCCTCCAAGATGGTTATAACTTCTGCATGACACTATTTTCTGTTAATAACAAAACTACCCAGGAGGCCCCCAGAGCAACGGTTGGCAGTACAGCCTTTTCCGTACCCTACACAGCCCACGCTAAGGCACCGCGCACCGATTTGGTCTAGTATCACTGGCATTCGGCCTAAAATTCTCACCATGTGTATCCACCCCCCCCTTGATGTGTGACCCACTACCACTTGCTGACAATTCACCTTCTGAGAGACCCTCACACGCTCATGGCACGCCGTGTCACGACGGGGGCCTTGGTGTCACACAGTGGCTTGTATCAGGGTTAGAGTTCATCATGTTTGGCCTCCTGGTCTTTGAGTTTAAATTCCTCTGCCGTGACCTTGCCGTCTCCGTTCCGGTCCTGGTTGGTGAACATGTTCTTCACAATCATCTCAGTGTCAAAACCAGGAGCGAGCTTCCCTTTGCCAGAGGCCACCTGGGCATGGATGTACTCCGAGAACTGGAAAGGGGACAGGACAGACCCTGAGACAGAGCAGCCGAGGGCGCCGAGCCCAGGCCCGAACAGGACGGAACCTGCGTCTGAGCTGGCGAAGCAGACAGGAAAGTGTGAGCTCCCCAGCCTGGCTCGTTCTCCAGATGCAGGTTAAAACCCCCGACGCCCAGGCGGGCAATGTGCAGTGGCTTCTGGGGTTACTGCGTCTCCCCGGATCAACCCTCAGCCCCTCCCCAAGGCTGACCCCCAGCCACCCAGCCTCAGAGAACCCTGCTGCCACATCTGTTCATTCACACGAGAAAAACCTGTCATCCACTGTATACGGGTCACCATCCCAGAGATACACCCTGCCCTTGTCATTCTAACATATTCTAGTAGGAAAGACACAATTCAAAATGAATAAAACCAATAAGTTATATGTTAACTTAGAAAGGGAAAAGCTCTAGAAAAACAAAACAGTAGAGCCAAGTAAGGAAGATCAAAAGTACCAGTGGGCACAGGGGTCGAAGTATCAATTTGGTGGTCACGGTAAGACCCCATTGAAGAAGAGAGCTCAGGGCAAAGGCTGGAAGGAAGTGAGGGAAGGAGCCAGTTATCTAGGGCAAGAGTCTTTGGAACAGAGAGAAGAGCTGGTGCAGAGGCCGGTGGAGGTGTGCCGGGCACGTTCACAGACCAGCAGGAGGAGAGTAAGCGGGAGGGAAGGCCTTTGTAGGCTGTTCACAGGTCACTGTAAGGACTTGGGAAATAGGGCGTCTCCTACAGGGTTCTGAGTTGCAGCGGGCCACGACCCGGCTTACATTTTAGATCAGAGAACAGACTCCTGAAGAGCTACCAGTGTGGCGGAAGGAACACCAAGAAAGCCTGGGGAAGCTGGGGAAGGAAGGGGTCGGGCAAAGGAGTGAGAGAGGAGGACCGCCTCCTTGACTCAGCAGTAGGACAGGCACTGGTCCCCGGGGCAAGACCAGGTTCACTGCTAACAAGGGCAAGCCAGCAGCCGGGGGAACGCGGATGATGTACGAGAAAGGGGAGAAGGCTGTGGCAACGTCCTTGAGCAAGCAGGCGCGGAGCAGATGAGAGCTGACTCCACCAGGGCTGTGACAGGGCAGAGGACGCCAAGCGGTGCCTGGTGCAGAAGGAACAACACAGGATCTAAACGCTCAGACGGGGGTGTGGATCCCGGCTCAAACCCCTGGGGAGCCGTGTGACCTTGGGCGCAGCTGCTGCTTCTGAAAAATAGGGACGGCTCCACTGCTGTCACGAGAGCCGAGCAAAATGATGCGTGTGAAGTGCCCCTTGCACAGGGGCAGGCATGCGTGAGCCCCCCGGAACTGGGAACCGATCCACATCTGAGAGCCCTGAATCAGTGCCCCGCCTCCCGGGGCCTCGGTTTCCTCAGAGAGCTTCACCTTAGAGAGCGTGTGGGACAGTGCCAGACACGTGAGTATGCCGGTCACAGGCACCACAGGAAGTAAGCACAGGAGTCCCCACACCAAGAAGCCTTCACGTTCAGAATGGGTCCCCCGGCCCAGTCAGGCTCCCCGAACTCCCTCGGTCCCACTTGCCCTCACCGGTCAGTTACCTCTTCCAGCAGGACTTCTCCATTGCCATCCCTGTCAATTTCTTCAAAGAGGTTCGGTGACACCTCGCCGTTCCATATGAACATGTACCCCTCGGGCAGGCCGGCCACCAGCTCCAGCAGCTCAATGTCAAACACCAACACGGCACTGCCCGGCACCTCTCCATCTGCCTCGGCGACAGGGAGGGGGCAGGTCAGCGCCACAGGGCAGTGGACAGGCCCCTCAACCTCCCGCCCCACCCCGTGCTCTTGCCGCCACAGGGCGGGCAAGGAAGTTCAGCATCGGCACGTGGTTTTTCCAAACTGTAGGCACTGACTACGAGGGAGTCACCCAATCAGTTGAGAGGATGCTGACCAGCATTTTTTGTTTAAATGAAGGAATGGAATAAAACAGATTTGGTACCTTGCACATAGAAAAGAAAAGTATCATTTTATATATAAAACTTGAGTTTCAGTTTTGTATATAAAACTTAATATATGTGAATATGTGCATAAATTGTATATATTTATTCCTAACAGAGATTAGGAGATAAAACGTATTTCTTACTCTGTGTCTTGGTGAAAAAAGTCTGAAAGCCACTTACTAGTAGAGACTCCAATGGGAGAACTTTTTAATAAATCTAACAGCAGAATAATAAAGTAATAAAATAAGAATAGTAAAGTATGACTTCATATCATGATCCAAGATATGTCTGTAAACACAAATTCAAAAACAGTATACGAGGTCTGTCTGGAAAAAGTCCAGCCATTGCTAATGAGAACAGTTTGCAAGACATCGACATAACCTGGCAGCCAAGGAGAGTGGACTGGAATGAACACGCATGAACAATGAGTCCTTCACTGTACTAGTCAGTGGGGGCAGTAGACACTGTAGAGTGAGCCTGTGTACTGTGTGGCCATCGCATTCAAATGACTGAGAGAGTACAGCAATGAGTCTGCATCACATTTTGCATTCAGCTTGGACATTCCTCCACAGAAACTATTCAGAGGATTCAGAAGGCCGCAGCTGTGGGCAACTGGTCATAGGCAACTGGTGACTGGCAGCCGCATCACGACAACACACCTGCTCATGCACCACATCAGGGGCAGAGTTTTTTGGTGAAACATCAAATCACCGAAGTGACTCAGCCCCTTTATAGCCCAGATTTGGCGCCCTGTGACTTCTGGCTTCTCCCAAAACTAAAATCACCTTTGAAAGGGAAGAGATTCCGACCCTTGATGAGATTCAGGAAAATACGACAAGGCAGCTGATGGCAGCTGGAAGAACTGTGTGAGACCCCAAGGTGCCTACTTTGACGGGGACTGAAGTGTCATCGTCCGATGTAGAATGTTTCCTGTATCTTCTTCAATCAGTGTCTCTATGTTTCATAGTGCATGGCTAGATACTTTCTGGACAGACCTCATATATAGCATGGACCCAAAAGAAGTTATATAAGTATGTGACTATATATACAAACATAATATGTATTATTTAAAATTATTACTACAGATCATGTTATAACTATTTAATATATAATCACAGTAGCATAGTATTATAGGATACACAACATATTTTTTGTAAGTGTTTCTTTTCAGATTTGGAAGGAGTAGCAGGGAGTATTTTTACAGTTACTTGAAAATTGTCAAAAACAGAAAATCACTCCAAAGTGCCTATCGTTTTTACGAGTTAGCACTTCCCACCGCCTCCACCTCCAGGGAGAAAGAAGGGGTTCCCAGGTCCCCCCCTGTGGACTCATTCCAGCCAAGACCACCACGTACATGAACCGTAACCGCTGTGAGGGCAGGCGAGCTAAAGCCAGTACTTTAAGAACGTGAACTCACCTCTCACAAAAGGAAACCTCCTTGGGTGGATAATTCGGGAAACGTGAAAAGCAAAGGCCGGCACCTTCCACTGCTCCGGATGCAGGTCTGGAAGGCAGCCCCTGGCCTCGCCTGCGAGCCCCTGCCTGGACAGCCCCTGCAGGGGCGTTTCCCACACAGGGAGGGACTCGAAGGTCCAAGCTCATGTCACAAAAACCCTGCCTTCTCAGGAGGGCGTGGGGCATTAGCGTGGCATCAGCTCGGAATGCACAGGGGTCTTTAAACAAAATCGCTGAATGTTTTTTTTTTTTAAATCCAACAGATTCTTGGGGTTCAAAAGGGAAGAAGCAGGGCCGGGGGGCTGGGTGAAACAGGGGAAGGGATGGAGAAGGACAGACTGGGGGTTACAGAGAAGTCACGGGGATGTAAGTCAAGCATAGGAAATACAGTCAATATTGCGGTTAACGACACATGGTGCCAGGTGGGTCTCAGAAATATCAAGGGGCGGGAAGAAGCTTTGTAAAGAACATGATTGTCTAACCACTACGCTGTATGCGTGAAACCAATACAATGTTGAAAGTAAACTGTCATTGAAAAGTAAAAAACAAAAAAAATCCCAAAAAGCAAAACGGAAGCATATTGTGATTCTAAACACGGCACCCCCCAAAGCACAGGCTTCGGATGAACGCACCCCAAACACCCTGTAACCCTGTCACTTACCCACGCCAGCCTCCCCGTAGCCCAGGTGGGGGGGAATGATCACTGTCCGCTTCTCGCCAACGCACATCTCCCGGAGACCCATATCCATTCCCAGCACGACTTGTCCAGATCCCAAAACAATGTTGTACGTTTTGCCTAAATTCCACCTGAAAACGAAACAGAAGAGTCCCTGGTTAGGTAAGTCCTCAACCCACTGGGACCTGAGAGAGTTCCCACGAGAAGGACACATCCCTTCTCCGGCACAGCACGTCACTGCGAAAGACACAGAGCCCCTCTCGAGTCCTGAGGAAACAGACAAACCCACATGGCGGACGTTTCACAAAAAAAACAACAACAGCAGAACACGTGTTATCTTCAAAAGTGTCCAGGTAAAAATCAGAGGAAGATGGAGGAATGGTTCCATGTTAGAACATGTGGGAATGGGGTCCTCTGGCTAGGAAAGACCTTCTGGGAACATTTAGCAAAACCAAAGTGGCGTCTGAAAATTAAAATGTAGTTACAGATCAACGTTACCTTCCTGATTTTAATGTCTGGACCGAGTTACGCAGGAGAAGGGCTCCGGCCCAAGGAAAAGCCCACTAACGTGCTCAGGGACAACAGGACAGTGTGAGGCAACCCACCCTCCAAAGGCTCTGGGGAGACAAAGCTCTTTGTCCTGCTCTTGCAATTATTTTTTTAAGTTTCAATGTTCTAGTCAGACATTACTATGGGAATTTTATAAACAGAAAATATAGTTACACCCTGGGCTGTAGATTCAGCGAGGCCTGAGTGTGAATCCTGGTTCAGTCCCCTCATCTGACCCTGGGAAGCGCGACCTCAGTTTCCTCCTCCGCAAGACAGGGACGGTAAGAGCTGCCACACAGGGATGCTCTAAATGGGAGATGACGCATTGCGTTTGGCACAGCGGAGAGCAAGTACCCAGAGCTCGATCAGCAGATGGCCTTGAGGGTGCCAAGTGCTTGGGCCTGTAACAGTCTCTGACCCTGGAATAATAATGGGGAGTTTCATCTGGGCTGAGGTTTTCATTATCGTTGACTTTCACGGTTGCTGTGCTCTCTCACCTCCGTCACTACTGAAAATAAATGTGTTTCCCAACCTATGGCCTATCTGTCACTTCCTAAGGGCTGACAGTGGGAACGTTCTCCACTGCCAAGGAGAAGAGCCTCCCAACATCCGAGAGGCCCCTGGGCGCCCCTCCCCAGGTGGTGACCACACGGAAGCCTCTTGGGGTCGCGCCCCCTCCTCAGGCTTCCTAGCCTCCCGGGGGCACAGGGCTGCCGGCTCTTTCCCTCCTCAAGCTGGTGCCCAGGGCCTGGCGGGTCCTCTGGGGCCAGGAAACCCAAACAGGGTTTGCATTTGTCCTACCTGGGACGAAACAGAAAGCCAACTGGTACAGGACGCCTTGGCCCACGGCCTACGGGAGGGGGTCTCCATCCGCCCCACACAATCCCCTCCTTTGTCCGCGGCACAGAGGCACCTTCATGCTGCTTTTCTCCAGGGACCATGGGGACCTCCCAGGGGACAACTGGGTTTCAGGAACTCGTTCAGTCATCACATAACGAACCTCCGTTCTTCCTCTCAGAGCCAGTTTAAACATACATTAAGAAAACCCTCCAAGCAAGCAGTGTGTCTTCTTGAGTCATGTCTGAAAACCCCAGGAATTCTTTTCCCTCAGGTCCTCCTTTTCTTACTTTTCCACAGGCTGGCTCTCACGCATTCTCCTCATTCCTTCTGGGCATTCCCAGCTTCTCGAAAGCTTCCTGCCTCCTGCCTGCGGCTGGCCTCTCTGGCTCCCCACCCACATTCCCTCTCTCTTCCCACAAGCCGGCTGCCCCCTCTGCGTATAGGGTCCTCCCAGGGCTGGGGTGGGACCAGGTCCCACCTTCCAGAAGAGGCCCCTCCCCACACACAGGAAGGCAGAGGCCCAGCGCACTACCCTTTGTCACAGGGTTCTGAAGCTTACACCCGCAGGAGTCCAGCAAGGACGCTGTCCCACAAACGACCCTCGGGGTGCAGAACGGAGTCTCAAGGGAGAGCACGGAGCGTCACATGGCTCCCAGACGCTCGGGAAGAAGGTCGTGAACCCACCAAACACGCCGCAGGAGGCTGGCAGGCAGATGCTCCCCACCGCACAAGAGCAGCACATCCTGAACACACGGAGCAGGATTCCTGCGCTCATTTCCCACCCCGGCATCCCCTTTCCACAGCCAGACAAACACGTGACCACTGGCGAAAGCAATGACAGCACACCCTTGACCTTGTAGGCTCTTCTAACCTTGTGGACCAAGTTCATTTGCATGAACTCACTGAATCCCCAAAGCAACCACACACCAGGCTTCCTCGCCACCGCCCCCTACAGGCCTCTAACCTCAGGGCAAGGAGGCCTGTTCAGCCAGGTCCGTGGGAACCTTCACCCCAGAGGCTAGTCCCTGTTTCACTGATTATATAATGTGTATTTTTTCACATTTTAACATTGCTGTAATTGGGACACATGCTACAAGGGGCATCATGTCATAATTTTTTAGAAGCATGTCAAAATTTTTTGGAAGCATTTTTACTTTCTTAGAGATTCATCGAATGATGCTTCTAACAATCGACACATTTTGGACGCGATCAAATACGCTGACTGCGTGAGTCCACAGGGTCTCCCAGTAGCAGAGAGGATGGGCTGGACAGTGTGTCCCCAGGGCTCACCCCCCAGGCCTGGCTCTCCCCAGCCACACTCTGTCACCTGATGCCAGAAGGCAGAGGGACTTGCGGGAAGGAGCGAAGACCCTCCGCATCTGGAGTAAGTGCAGCACGTACTGTTCACGTGAGACCCTCCTTCTCCCTGAGACCAAACAGGAACCTAAGTCAGGTTTAGCACAAAAATGGGTATCCTTACAACGGGATATAAAGAAAGGCTGGAAAGGTCTCATTCCCAAGAAGAAGGTATTGTATTGACTTACAGGTACATCTGAAGATTCAGAGGTGTAAGAAGCAAAGCTCCATTGGCGTCCCTGATACTAGTTTATACTGTTGATTCCTCTAATATCTTTTCAAAGTCCTCTCAATCAATTAACATTTACGAAAGGCTCCCTTGGTGCTGTGCCCTGAGCTAAGTATAAGGAATAAAAATATGAATAAATGGCTTGGGTGTCCCTCAGGTATTCAGACCAGCAACCAAGATAAAAATCAAAATAAAAGGCAGGCAACACATAAAACATGATGAGACTACAGAAGCGGGGAGCAGTTGATTCTTCCTAAGGATTAAGGAGAGGTCTTCAGAAAAGGGAGGCCACCTAAGCCAGGGCAGAAGTTGACCAGAAGGAAAGGACCAGCAACACAAATCCTGCCCCATGGCAGGGACACCCGGAGGCTGAAGACGAGGCAGGTGGGACAGAACGCAGCAGACAAGGACAGCCGGGCACGCCGGACTCTAGAGTTTGGATTTATCCGCAGGTTCATTTTTAAAGACCGCAGTTAGAAGATCTGTTTTTCAGAAAGCCAACTTCACAGGAACAGGGAGCAACCAGCGCAGGGAACTCCTAGAAGGAGGCACCCGAGCAGCAACGGAGGCTTAGCTCTGCGGTGAGGGGAGGGGGAAAGCAAGGTGATAAAAGCTCTCAGCCAGCATCAATGAGGAGAAAAGGAGAATCCTGGGAATCCACGACCGTCACCCCCAGGCTCACCCCCACCATCCCCGGCAGCCCTTACGTGGAATCCAGCAGGGTCCCATCCAAGAGCGAGGCGTTGTAGTGATATTTGAGGTAGTCTCCCTTCTTACTCAGCACGGAGCAGTCGGGGGGCTTGTAGTGGGAGGTGATGCTGATGGAGTCTGAAGGGTTGTGGAAGTCGATCACGTGGATGTCAAACACCAGCACGGCCGAGCCGGGGATATTCCCTGAAGGGCAGACACAGGAACTGAACGAGGGAACCCTCCAAGCAGCGGGACGTGTGTCTCCCCACATCACCACGTACGTCCTCACAGGCGTCCAGGGAGGAGCACCAGGGACTCAGACATGAAATCCTACAAAATCCTGGAAGAATGAAGCTGCAAGCGCTGTTAGAAGTAACCTACCCCTCACTTAAATGGGTGGGGAGCCTGGGACACGGATTTGCCCAGGGCCACGCAGCCGGCTAGGAGCACAGTGTGGACGACAATTCAAGCTCATGAGCCCCTGCCGCATGCAGTCGTTGAACCTGAAAGATTTAGGGCTAAGTGCACCACAGATGGGAAGGCTAAAGCTCGGCCACATGAAGGCTCACCCTGTTCCTCCCAGAAGTAAGAGGTGAGATGAGAGGGAAAGTCACTGTGCAAGAGAAAGAAAACCAACAGAAAGTTCATGGGGAAACCCCCCAGCCCAAACTGCCCACGCACACCCCTCACGATACAGAACATCCGACATTCCCCAAGGGCCTTTACAAATGCATCCCATTCGTTCTCCACAAAACCATGGAGGTAGTTTTCTCTCCCATTATCTTCACTTGAAAACACAACCTCTGAATAATGCTTTCATTTGCAAAAGTAGTTTTCATACACGTTCCCTCATGCAGCCTCTGCAGAGGCCTGGCGAGAAAAATGGTTGCCGGACAGTGCAACGCAGGAGTGGAGCCTGTGAACGCCGTGCAGAGCCCGGCACTGCCTTCCTCCCACCAGTGTCTGCGGAACATTTCCTCTGTGTCCCAGCACCCTTCCCGGATTAGCATTAGGTCCTGTCACACCCCCACAAAGAGGGCATGGGTGCCCTTTAAGAAAGGACAGAGGTGGACCCGGAATAAAGGCAGCTGGGTGTTACATGACAGGGTGCCCCTCCCAGACAGTAACAAATGACTCAGGATGAAGCAGCCTCACGCCCAGAAAATTTATGAGCCTTCCGATGCTTCCCAGAACCTTATATAATTCTCTGCAGAGCTCTGTCTCATAGTTGACAGAAAGCCAAAAAGGAGAAAGATAATTTCAGCAACTGTTTTCCATCAATGCAGTCTTTTTAGAGACAGGAAGGATTGGTCCTGAGGGCATTATTACACAACACAAATACTCAGAAAGCAGTTTTCTATTCCTGCATGCATTTGGCTAGAAGTTTACATGATACAAAACAACAAAGCATCAAGACACTAGATAAACGGGACATGAAGCAAGCCCATTGAATGTGTCTTAGCTGTGGTCTCTTGTGGCTTTAGAAATCAGAAATTTAAGTCGGGGGGAAAAATAGGTTTATCCACAGTACGACCAACCTGCTGTTTCTTAGATACCCTGGATATGCCCTACTGGGGAAATGCCAAAGAGCCAGGTTAACAAGAAGAATGTGCACAAGCCTGCCAGGCCAGCCAGAATCCTGTCAGCAAAAAGAAAACAGAAGCAAAATAAATACCTCATCTACTATCCCTAAGCACACTAGCAAAAAAATGGCATATGAGAACATAATTAAGAAAGGAAATCTGGCCCTGGCTGGTGTGGCTCAGTGGACTGAGTGCCGGCCTTGCTGGCCTGCGAAACCAAAGTGTCGCTGGTTCGATTCCCAGTTGGGGCACATGCCTGGGTTGTGGGCCAGGTCACCAGTAGGGGGCGCTCAAGAGGCAACCACACATTGATGTTTCCCTTTCTCCCTCTCTTCCTCTTTAAATATAAATAAATAAAATCTTTTTTAAAAAAATGAAAGGAATGAAAATATGGCTTGGAATATTATGCAACCATTAAAAATACCTGATGGCATAGTGAGTTGTTCACAATAAATTAGGTGGAGAGTGAAATTACAAAGTTATCTGTATAATTGGCCTCAGTTTTGTCAGCGTTGGTGTCGGTGGATGTGTTTCCCCTTTCATCCACATAGATTCACGGACACTCGGTGTAGAATAGTCTTCCCCTCACAGTTGTATGAGTTTTCTATTGCTGCTGTATCAACTTATGACAAACTTGGTGGCTTAAAACAATGCACATTTATACTCATAACTCGAGGTTCAAAGTCTAATTCCAAGGTGTTGGTAGGGCTGTGTTCCTTCTGGAGGCGTCAGGGCAGAATCTGTGTCCTGGCCTCGTCCAGCTTCCCGAGGCCACCCTCCTTCCTTGACTTGGGTCCCTTCTTCTAGCTCCCAAGCCCACAGCTTAGTGTTTCCTCCTCTCTCTGACCACCTGCTCCCTCCTGCAAAGACTCGTAAGGAGGGCCCCGGAACGACCCAGGATCATCTCCCCACGTCAGGGGTCTTTACCTTAATCACATCTGCCAAGTCCCTTTTGCCATGAAAGGTCACATATTCCCAGGGCCTGGGGACTGACATGGGCCTCTTTTGGGGCCCCTCTTTCCTTACCGCATTACACTGTATATTCCTGGGTGGCTGGATTAGGGGAGGGTTTCATTTTCTTTATCTGTATTTTCGTTTTCTGAAGTCAACGTGTATTATTTGTGTAATTTTTAAAAGGGAGTTTGTGATTCGAGCGACAAAACTGTTCTAAAACTGGATTAGGTGATAGCTGTTCAACTTACTACGTTTACTACAAGTCACTGAACTGTCTACTTAAAATGGGTGACTTGTATGGTTATATAAATTATACCTTCAATAAAGCTGTTAACAAGCAAAAAGGGGGCTTGGGAATTTACTTTTTTCCCCTTAAGATTTTATTTACTTATTTTTAGAGAGCAAGGAAGGAAGGGAGAAAGAGAGGGAGAGAAACATCAATGTGTGAGAAATACATGGATTGGTTGCCTCTCGCACACCCCCAACTGGGAACCTGGCCCGCAACCCAGGCCTGTGCCCTGACCGGGAAGCAAACTGGTGACCTTTGGGTGTGCAGGCCAGCGCTCAATCCACTGAGCCACATCAGCCAGGCCCAGAATTTACTTTCAAGTGGCTCAACAACAACAGAAATATAACTCATAGAGAGCGAGAAAATAAATACAGCAAGATATTAACAAACTAAGGGGAAACTAAGAGAAGTTCACTCTACAGTTCTTTCCACTTCGGTGAAGGTTGAAAATTGTTCAAAAGGAAGAGAAAAAAAGGGCAGGGAGGACAAGGGAAACCACAGAGCATCTCTAGAAACTAAAGCTAGTTGCGGGCATTCAAGTCTTCAGCTGGAATCAGTTTCGACATTTCCCGCAAGGAGCCCTGGTTCCTTGGAACCGTGGTGCAAGCAGCCACCGGGGCCGCTTCATGGGATCTGGAGAAAGCAGCGGGCACTCACCTCTCCCTTCCTCCCCGTACCCCAGGTGAGGGGGGACCACAATCCTCCGCTTCTCTCCGATGCAAACGCCAAGTAAACCTTCATCCATCCCAGCAATCACGTAGCCCTGCCCAATGTACGTGTCAAAGGTGCGGTTCCGGGAGTAGCTAGAAAAGAAAAGAAAGAGGTTTCACACAAGGGACACCACAGCAGCTGTGACATTAACGAGCACTGTGAGGCAACAAGACACAGAAGCCGCCAGCCCTGGGGATACAGTGAACCTCAGACTCTGAGGACACAGGCAGGAAACAGGCTCCTCTGTCCACACCACAGAAATGTAGCTAATGTCAACTGGACTGTACACTTAGCAACTGTGTCAAGTTAATGAAAACAGCATCAGAGGCACCCTTATCAGAAACTAAGAGTGGGACCTGGCTGGGCAGTTAGAGCATGCTCTAGATACGCCAAGGCTGTGGGTTCAATCCCTAGTCAAGGCACATACAAGAAACAACCAATGAATGCACAAATAAGCGGACAACAAATGATGTTTCTTTTTCGCTCTCTCCCCCTTCTGTCTCTCCTTTATTCTCTCTAAAATCAATCAGTAACAAAAGAAACTAAGAGTGTGTCCAAGGACAACGCCTCCAGAATCTAAGGATGAGAACATCTGACCAGGTGGGACGTGAATATTCGGACTGCCAGAAAAGTAGCGCGTGTACTGAGAGCCTGGGGAATCTCCCTGCTCTGGTCCTGCTCACCGCGCGACCTTCTAGTGAGGACTTGGGTTCCCAATGCTGCTGGCCGGCGCCCAAGCATTCCAGCCTCTGTGCAAACTGCCAACGCAATTCAAGTATCATGAGTTTGGTGAGAACAGGATGAGATCTCCAAAGACTGATGATTCCAGAATAAAGTGACGAAACTTCATCTGCCACGTCTACTACCCAACTTTGAGCCACAGTGATGTGTACCACTCCCACCCCGATGGTAAAAAAGCCGTCCTGAAAGAGCCGGTCCGTTCCACCATTACCTCATCAAACACAGCCAAAGGGTGCCAGGCTGGGACAGCGTGGGGCCAGGGAGAGTGGAGGGGGGGGGGGCTTCCTTCTTGACACTCCCCAGAGGCCACGGGATGCAAAGAAATGATAGTAACAGATGATCCCTCTCACGCAGGAAGCGGGTTCTCTGCATACCCTCCCCGCTCCTCAGAAGGCTGCGGAGAAGGAGCCTCAGACGTCCTGTCCTCACAGGGGCCAGAAGGCCACCGTGGCAGCACAGCCCCACAGGAAGGACGGGCTCAGCCCTCCAGCCCCTCACCTTCCCCAGGTGGCTGCCTCGCCAGCAGGTGTTTGGTGACCATCAGCGAAGAGCAGCTCAGCACTAGCTGTTGGGAAAGAGAAGGCTACCTGTGAGGTGCGATCCCTTAAAAAGGGGCACCAGGGGGCAGGAGAGATGGCAGGTGCCTCAGAGCAGGGAAAAGCCACCAGCTGGAATAGTCGGCAAAGGTTCTGTGGGTTTGGGGGAGCACGAGGAGAGGTGGGGGGCGGCTCAGGGGCAGCAGTGCGGCCAAGGCCCAGAGGCAGGGAAGAGCCTCAGAAGAGGGCGGAGGGGCCGGGAGGGCTTGAAGTGTAGAGAAGGTTAAATAACTTTAAAAGAAGATGGAGATAAACAGAAAACCACCCTGTTCCCCAATGAGAACACTGAGGATTATCGAGTTATCAATGCTCCCCGAAACTAATTTTCAAATTTTCACACTACCCCAGTCAAAATCTAAGTGGTATGTATGAGGGAGGAGGGGGGTCCTAAAATCCATTTGACAGAAGAAATAATCAAGACTACAGTTTTGAAGATGCAGGATATAGCAAGCTTTAATTCCTGTAGAAAATTAAACGGAAGGACCATGTCTTCCACTGTGTAGGTACGAAAGACCTATGAAATCCCTAACACTGCCTCCCTGTTCAGAGGGGAGACTGAGGAACAAGGACAGGAGGCAGGCTCCCCGTGGCGCCCCCTCTTATCCCCCAAGGACTTGCAACCATGGCCGATGTGTCACTTAGTAGAAAAGAATAATGTTTTAAAAGGAAAAAGAATGCTCTCTATCGTACAAATTTAAAAGATACAATAGTGAAAGGTGTAACATTGGCCCAGGAAAAGTTGGACCAATGGTAAAGGATAAAAATTCCAGACAGGGCCTCAAAAGTGTATTTAAGAATTTTGTGCATAATAAAAGTCAGATTTGTGATGAGTGAGGGGAAAAAACAGAATTATTCACGAAAGGGTGTTGGAAGCAGGAGCTCACCATCTGGAAAAAAAATAGTTAGATCCTAACTGTCGCACTGAACACCACAACAAATTCCAGATGGACTGAAGACTTAAACATGAAAGTATTTATAAGCATGTGGAAGGTTATTAATATTTATTCTGGGTTGTAAGAATAGAAGGGGTTGATAGGAAATTAATACACTTTATTTTATATCTCTGCATTGTTTCATTTATACAATAAGAAGATAATACTCCATAAAATAAAAATTCTAATAAAGAATATTTTACACGATAACAAAATAAAACCATTAAAAGGGCACAAGGGCCCCGGCTGGGTGGCTCCGTTGGTTAGAGTGTCATCCCGATTCACCTAGGTTATGGGTTCAATCCCCAGTCAGGGCACATACAAGAATCCACCAATGAATGCATAAACAAGTGGAACAACAGGTCAATGTTTCTCTCTTAAAAAAATTTTTTTTAATTTTATTTATTTATTTTTAAAGAGAGGGGAAGGGAGGGAGCAAGGGAGAGAAACATCAATGTGTGGTTGCCCCTCAAGCGCCCCCCACTGGGGACCCGGCCCACAGAGCAGGCATATGCCCTGACTGGGAATCGAACCAGTGACCCCCCACAGCTTGCAGGCTAGCACTCAATCCACTGAGCCACACCAGTCAGGGCTTTAAAAAATTTAAAAATGTTTTAAAGAAGCAAAAAGACATGAGAAAAACACAGGCAAATATTTATATACTCTCAGGGAGGAGACAGATATTTTAGAAAGTCACCAAAGACAGAATATATAAGAATTTATATAATAAAGGAAGTCATGAAGGAGAAGTGAACTATATTTAACAAAAAAGTTTACATTTAAATAGGTCATAAATCACAATAACCAAAATTAAAATACAAATAGACAGAAAATGTTTTCAACAATATATACAACCATAAAAAGGTTAATATCTTTAGTATAGAGTGTTCAAATCAATAAGAAAAAGGCAAATACCAATACCCTCAATATTAAAACCAGGCAAAAGAAATAAACAGGTAAGTCACAAAAGAAGATATCCAAATAGTAAATAAACATTTTAAAGAATTTCAACCTCAAAGCAATCAGAGAAATTCTGATTACAGCTATGAGGTTCAATTTTCCTTCTACAAATTGTCAAAGATTAGTTTAAAATGATCCCCATTGTCACCAAATTTGCAGGGAATGGGGCACTCTTAGTGATGGAAACCTTCCCTGAGGACAACTTGGTAGTGTCTTCCAAAAGCTGTAAAAATACACATACCCAGGGACCTGGAGATTCTTCCAGAAACTTATCCCAAGGAAGTAACTTATCATATACTTTAAGATTTAGCTACAAATAATTACTGGGTCCTACCTAAATGTCAAAAGGTAGAAAACAATAGGGATTGATTACCCAAATTAAGATAAATCTATACAATGGAATATTATTTAGTTATTAGGATAGGCTAGATCCCAATGTACTAAAATGAAAACCTGTTTGAAACCAGAGAAAAATGTGATTCCATTAATATGGAAAGAAATCTCGTATCCACAAGAAAAATGGTCTTTAAACCGAAATATAGTTCCAGGGAATAAAGGACAGAACCAAACTCACATATGACAAGTAATAATACGCACACACATACCGGAGGTTTATTGTGATAGAAAAAGAAGACCTGGCTGGTGTGGCTCAGTGGACTGAGTGCCAGCCTGTGAACCAAAGAGTTGCTGGTTCGATTCCCCGTCTACGGCACATGCCTGGGTTGTGTGCCATTCCCCAGTTGGGGGTGTGAGAGAGGCAACCAACTGATGTATCTCTCACACACTGATTTTTCTTTCCTCTCTCCTTCCCTCCCTTCCCGTCTCTCTAAAATAAATAATATCTTTATAAAGAAAAAGAAGAAAAACAACTCAGATGGTCATCAGTAGAGAAATGGTTAAATAAATATGGTACATTCCCCCAATGAAACACCAGACAAACATAAAAAATAAATGATTTCTCTCAACATATTAATACGGAAAAATCTCAAGGTGAAAAAATGCAAGGAGAATATATAGTGGACACACTGTGTTAGGCAGTTAGACAGGCCTGAGCAGAGCAAGGACAACAGGCCTGGTCCCAAAGGTCACCCTGGGACCTGGCATGGACAGTTGTAGGGTGGGACCTCTCCCCAAGAGAGGCACGTCACCAGTCATGTGGCAGACCCCCTTAGAGGAGGAACATGGGGGCGGAGAGTAGCCTGTTACAACCCCCACACAAGCGCTTGCACAACTACCCCCTTAAGCATAAAGCCCTCAGGACCCTGAGGTTCTGACCCGCATCAGATAATCTTAGGAACAAAGCCTCGGGTCTGCTGACCACAGAGACAGTTTCGGTCCAACTAGGGACAACACCAGGCCTCAGCTGTGTTTCAGCTCCAGGCCCAGAAAAGCAGCGAAGCCAGACAGCAACACCAGGGCTGCCATCAGGACCAGCGGCCGTGACTAATGCCCCCCGCCCCTGGCGCCGACCCATTAGCAGAGACCACAACGCTGAAAGGACACAGCTGGAAACGCTGATGAACATTCTATTGAGACCCTCCCCTGGGACCTCCCCTAAGCGCTCCTCCCTTAGAGAGCAGATAAAAACCTTTCAGGAGGGAGGACCCAGCACTCGCTCTTCCTCTCAAGCACAGCTGCTTCCTCTCCTACCCCTCCTTTCCCAGGCACGCTTTCTCCACTTTCTCTGGAGCACGCCTGCACCCTTCCCTCCTCCTCTTTCCTCGAGGTGCACATCTTTGGCCTCTCTCCCCCCCAAGCTCCAAGGGCCCTTCTTTTGCCTCTGTCACTTGTTTCCTGAGCCCACACAGCCCTGCTGGCTCACTTCTACTGCTCAATTCTTCTACCTCTGTGACTTTCTAAATTAACTTTTGCTTAAAGTTTAAGTCTTGGCTCCGAATTCTTTCCTAGCCAGGACTCAAATACCAAGGTTGCTGAGCCAAGGTCCAGTCGCCAGCAACATTCTGGTGCCATTTTGCTGCTGACAATATTATATACCATATTCTACATGCTATACACTATAAATGTGAGAAAATAACACTGTATTTACTTATATCTGCATTAGAAAAAAATCCACACACTAAAAAAATAAAAAGGAACTTATTAATAAAAGTGGTTGCCCTGGCTGGTATGGTTCAGTAGATTGAGTGCTGGCCTATGAACCAAAGGGTCTCCAGTTCAATTCCCAGTCAGGGCACATGCCTGGGTTGCAGGCCAGGTCCCCAGTAGGGGGCGCACACAAGGCAACCACATATTGATGTTGATATTCCACATATTGATATTCTCTCTCTTTTTTCTTCCCTTTCCCTCTAAAAATAAATAAAAATCTTTTTTTTTTGACAAATAAATAAAAGTGGTGAACTTATAGTGGCTACAGGAGAGGGGATATGAGGCAAGTAGGAACAGGTGGTACAACATATCTTAATGAATATTTTGGCTTAAATTCTGAACCATGACTATTACTTTTTAAAAAAAAAATCAAATCAAATATTTAGAAGAAGAGAGCCTAGGAGCAGGAAGAATGAACTGTTCAAATAAAATAATACTGTATAAAAATCCTTCTGTAATGTTTCTGGATAACTAAAACTCAAAGTCCACTACCTCAGAGAGACAGAGTGCTGTCACAACTTGTTTGCTTTCCGGCTATGGTTTCCAAACAACACATCCATTTGAAGGAGCAAAACGCGCCAGACACCAGGCATGCCCCCGCCCTCTGCATACCCACAGACTGAGTCTGGTAAACAAAACACAACTTTGAATAACGACTGAGGCTCAGTAATTAGCCTTTTCAACAGCAGGAAGGAGGCTGAATATATCCAGCAGTCCCCCGCATTTTAAAAAAAAAAAACCCTGTAATGTTTGCAAAGGGATTTCACCTCCCTTTTACTCTTAAACCATCTCTTTGAGAAAGGTTCTAATAATGGATAAAAAACCCCTGAAGCTCAGGGAGGTCAAATGCTACCCAAAGTCGCACAGTTAGTGCACTGTGCCCAGGGACTGGAACCCACATCTCCTGGCACCAAGCCTGTTGTCTTCCCACCCTGCCGCCTGGACCTCCCTTCTGGCCCCTTCCCATCTTGAGCCCTATAGCTGAGGTCATACTGGAGGAGCTGAGCACAGTGAAAGGGGGAGAGTGGGCATCTAGGGTGAGGCTCTCCTGTTTTCCTGCACATTCATCTGCCTGGGACCCTAAGGAGACACTTCTACAGCCTCTGAAGGAATTCAGTGGCAGAAAAGAGAAACCTGCCCTGGCTGGCGTGGCTCAGTGCACTGAGTGCCGGCCTGCGAACCAAAAGGTCACCGGTTTGATTCCCACTCGGGGCACATGCCTGGGTTGCGGGCCAGGTCCCCAGCTAGGGGCCTGCAAGAAGCATCTGATCGAATCTCTCACACACTGATGTTTCTCTCCCTCCCTTCCCCGCTCTCTAAAAAGAAAGTAAGTAAAATCTAAAAAAAGAAAAGAGAAACCTGCACTGGAGGGGACAAAACTAACTCCGAGTCAGCACCGACCGTCTGCAGCTCCTGGTCCTCACCTGGAATCAAAGAGGGTGCCGTCCAGCAGAGTGCCGTTGTAATGATACCGGAGGAAGTCCCCGCTCTGGCTTCGTCGCTCACAGTTTTCAGGCACTACCTTATTCTCAATGGAAATGCCATCCTTGGGGTTGTGCAGGTCCAATAAGGCCACATCAAACACCAGCGATGCCTGCCCAGGGATGTCCTTCCCTAGAGGGGTACAGAAAAGGCTGATGAAATCAGGACACAAGATGCAGGAGGCACTGGAACTGCAACTGAATACCTTCTGTGTGGGTGTAACGCATTCCTTGACATTTTCAAGCCAAGGAAACACATGTCCATCCTCATCTTGGGTGGTTCCCCGGCACCCCCCTGACGCCCACCGCTGTCTCACCACAGGCTGGCAGGTGCAATTTGAAGCCTGACTTCCTCAGAAAAAGGAGCAAGGTGCTATTAAGGACATGAGAGACTACTGTTGTGACAGTAAGAAGCCAGGGAAATTCCTAGGCAAGTGGAATGGGGAAACTGAGACAAGAAAATTAAACAAGGCCAATCAGTCTGAGTAAATTACAGCCAGCTGGCAAATCACAAGACCTTATCTCCCCTAATTAAGGACACTTGAGGTCAAATGTCCTCTCCTCCCTGACCAGAGAATATGGAGCTTAAATCACCCTGGTCTGGGGAAAATAGGAAACAGAGACCAAATTAATGGCATTTGCACCAGCTAAACTCAAGGACAGATGAAGTCAGGGAAACAAATAACAAAAACCCCATTAAAAGCCAGATAGACTCAAGATAAAAGCAAAACAGTCTAGCAGACCAAAGAATATTCCCAAACCCCGCTCAGCACTCATTTTGACGCATCAGGATATCAAAAATGCACCAGCAAAGCTGATGACTATTCTGCTGAAACCTTCCCCTAAGATTCTCACCTGCAGAAAAGAAGATTAAAAGCCCTCGGGACAAAGACTCAAGCTGGCGGGCTCGCTTTAGAGCTCGCCCATGTCCCTTCCCAGGCATGAACCTTTTATTTCCTTCTAAACGCTAAGCGTCCCAAGGAGACTTGCGGCCAGGGGAGCAGTGGGCAGCAGCAGCTCGACCCGGGCTTACTCCCTGATCCCGCCTGCATGGCCCCCTTTTTCTCTGACTTCCCAGTGAGCTCACAGCAGCCCCACCTGGGCTCACTTCTGTCTCTGTGACCTTCCCTCCTTCCTCTAACTTTTCTAGGGAGCCGAAGCAGCCCTGCCTAGGTTCTCTCCTGTAATTTCTTCCACCCTGTATCTTTCCTTTGTTTCACTGCCCCAGCCTTAATAAACATGCTCTCAAAAATCACCGGGACTCGTGTTATGAAATCTTTCCTACACAAAGTCAAGAACCCACACTGCCGGCTGGCCCGAGGCAGACCCGCTCAGGGCCAGTTCCCGTCTAGTAATCACTGTGACCCTATTTTCTACACTTGGGCAAATCAAGGCTATATGTGGGTCTGCCCACCTGCAAACCCCAGTACATACCTCTGTGGGTTTCTGGTTGTGTACAAATGCAAATCGCAGATATTAAAAAACACAAATTCCAAAGCTCACGTCTGGTTCTGGAGAACACTACCTAAACTTGTTCCTTGGAAGCCACAGCCAATTTTTTAAGAGACAATATGCAAAGTTCAATCCTCTACGAGCCTCCAAAACGAGATATAAATAAAAGTAAAGTTAGCCGAAGTGAGAGGAAAAAATGGCACCTGTAACCTAAATTATAAATAGTCCTCAAATCATTTCTATCTCACTTCTGGACTGTACTGCCTCTCTCAGATCTTCCTAATGGCGAGGATACTGTGAATATCAGCAACGTGATAATCCACAGGGCGAGATTATTGGGCACTAGTTCTTCCTGCAAAGATGAGCATCAACCAGTAAATAACTCTAAATCCAGTACTTTGGGATAAAAGGAAGTTAACTGAAGAACCACCAACTCAACCCTCTTACTTGCCCTTGTCACACCATGCAAAGACGTGGGCCCGGGCACGTGACCCACGTGGCAAGCCAGGCCTGCGCTCTTCGGCCGGCTCTCTGTATCCTTCTCCTGGGGCAGGGCAAAGATGATGAAATCTGCAGCCACCAGGATGCTGAGTCGGCCTCCGGAATGCATGGTCAATCCCTGAATTGCAGGTGTGCAAATGGGAGGGTGTGCAGTGCAACGTTCATCCTTCCTGCTCTCCTGTATCTTTTTTTCGCTTTGTACAGACTGAAATTCCTGTTGCTCTCAGTCATACCATCCTTTTCACGGGACTTCCCTTTTCTGTATCTTTTAACTTTAGAGAAAAAGAAAACCTTAAAAGTCACCCCAGTGTTTACATTTTTCTGGCATTATTGTATACGAATTGACTATTCGGGGTTTTTTTTTTAATAACAACTTTATTGAGTTATAATTCCCTTACTATACAATTCACTTATTCAAAGTGAAACCTATATAGCTCAGTATAGTATTAAAGTATAAAGTATTTAAAAAGTAGTTATGTTAAATAAACTATTTTAAATTATTAATTCTTTAAAATAAATAATATTCCTCATATTAGGCTAGGCATCTAGTTTTATTATATATGTTGGGTGCATGTGGATGATGTAAAAAAAAATTCAGGCAGCGCACACAAATAAATGTCCACTGGGCGACGATGAGACCATTGAGCATCGGCAAGAATAACACGTATCTCGGGGAAGGGAGAAGTAAGACATATTTACCGAAATTGTTCTCAAACTTTTTTTTTAGCAGGGAACTCCCCCACCTCCCACCCCACTTCTTAAAGGTACTGTCTGCAGGTCCCCAGGGTGTAAATATATAAAAGCAGAAGACGGGAGAAGGCTAAGCCCCATCCACTCGGGTTCCCTTCTCCTCCAGCTCTGTATCTTGGAAAACATTATATTAGGGGGGTTAGCATTGGCAGTAAACTTCTTAAATACCATCATGTTTTCATTTCTATTTTTTTCTTTTAATCTAATTTTTTTTAAGATTTTATTTATTTACTTTTAGAGAGGGGAAGGGAGAAAAGGGAGTGAAACATCAATGTGTGAGAGATACATCGATTGGTTGCCTCTCACACACTCCAACCTGGGGAGCCCAGGCATCTGCCCTGACTGGGAATCGAACCGGTGGCCTTTTGGTTCATAGGCCAACAGTCAATCCACTGAACCACATCAGCCAAGGCTCGTTTCTATTCTTAATTACATACATGCTTGTTCAAATGCCTGGATATCTCTTTGTTGTAACAGCCTATCAGTATGATTAAATGTGCCTGAAATTCAAAATACAAGTAAATGAGTAATTCTTTTTATGTCAATATTCTACGTTTTTAATTTTTTTCTAACCATATGCTTTGCATTTGTCCCCATGGAGCTAATATCACAGGTAAAACCCAGCATGGAGGTACTAATCTGGGGAAAAACATGGCAATTCTGGCATCAAATGCTAAATTTCTACTTTGATGCCTACCCTCTTCAGAAGGTCTAGTGGAAATATTTCACAGATAGGAAAAACGCGCAGGAGAGCTTAGTGCCCGAGGTTACGGCTTCAGGGGCAGCGGCAGGCAGGAGGCAGCTTACGTATGAACGCCAATGACCGTGAACAAGCGGGGTTGCCATTGATGCGGTCGTCAGGTAACCTCGACTAGCACTGTCGCCCCAACCCTGTGCCCGGATGGAGAGGCTCAGTGTCTGCACCGCCCAGCAGAGCAGCGCTCGGCAGTGTGAACAGCGACGTGGAGCTACTGGCTGCCGTGTCTGACGCGCGAGTCTAACCAGCGATTTTCAGCCTTTTTCATCTCGTGGCACACGTAAGCTAATTACTAAACTTCTGCGGCGCACCAAAAAATGTATTTTTTTGCCAATCTGACAAAAAAAAAAATGGTAAACTTCTGATTGACTTACCAAAAATAAAAGAAATAGTAATTACCAAACTTTTTGTTCCATTTTGACTTTTTTAAAAAAAAAATCAGGTGCCTGTACTTGTGTATAAGGATTGCTGGTACTGAGAATCAACTACTCAGATGCAACCTTCTTATGTGACGTGACAATAAGATGCAACTCTATTATATCATCTACATATTTATGGTTCAAGATGGCGTGCGTTCACACCTGAGGGCTATTGTGCTGGCTGCTGTCATTTTTTTATTTGACAATCTAAGGAAAAGGAGGTCAGTACCCCTGACTGAATAGTCAGGTGTTGTCTGTTTTAAAAATTCTTGTAGCTCACCGGTTGAAAACTGCTGATCTAGGTCTGGGGGAATCTCCCGTAGCAAGCTGAATTAATCGCTGCAATAGAAATAGGGACAGACGAGCGTGGCTGGGCGAGTGAGAAGGACTTACCGTCTCCGTCTTCTCCGTAGGCCAGAAAAGGGGGGATGGTGATGATGCGCTTTTCCCCCACACACATCCCCAGCAGGCCTTTGTCCATTCCAGGGATCAGCCAGCCGATTCCCACATAGGTGTCGTATGTCTTCATGCGGTTATGGCTGAAAACCAATGAGAAAGGCGGGAAGTCCCATCCCATGAGGACGCTGGCCCTCCTCCCTCATAGGGCTTTTATTACCCACATCCCAGCTGAACGGGGAACCCATCCCCACCCCTGGAGACAAGCATAAATGGATCTTTGCTCCCAATCACAGGGCAGATGTCCTGAAATTTATAAAAGCGGGTAACTAAGCTGCAGTGATTCACAAAAATAGGCCTGTCTTTCTGTCTAACCAAACAGGCTAAAATGGACGAAAGGGTTCCCTGTCCCCAGCTTAACACCCTGCGCCCACGCTTCTCCATAGCTTCATATACACTCAGTCTTCACCCTCTTCCTTCCACGGAAAAACTATAAAAAGGAACCAAAAATGCCTGAATTACTTGGTAATAAGGTCCTTCACCTAAAGAGATCTGAAAATCCTGTTAATTTAGATAAACATTGCTCTTGGGCATTTCTAAGATGTATCACAATTTTGACTCTGGCACCACAGAGCTTAAAGTGGTACCCAAAATCCTCAAGTGAAGAAGCTGATGCTGGTGAAAGCTGGGAAGGGTCCGTTTCCTGGCTTCTCCAGGGGCGTGAAGAGGGGATGAGACCGAGGAGCGCGGGGCATTTCACGGAGAATAGCGTGAACGTGGGACTCACCTCGAATCAAAGAGCGTCCCGTCCAAGAACGTCCCGTTGTAGTGGTACCTTACAAAATCAGACACCTGGATGGTCCGAGGGCAACTCGGGGGCTTGAAGTAAGTGTGAATCTGAACCTGATCTTCAGAATTCCAAATATCCATCAGAAGCACATCAAAATGAAGCACTGAATTTGGGGGGATCACACCAGCTGGATATAAAAAAAGTTCACACTGAGAAGCTGCTGCCTTTCGGGCCACGTAAACACCTGGGATGCGGCCGAGGGTTCCAGGGGACACCGGCATCCAATTCCAAAATGAGCCGCGCCCCCCACCCCTCCTCTCCTCCAAATAAAATTGAAGGAAAGGAGAAAAAACAAAATTTTTCTCTCAACAAGGGTAACATTCACTACACCTGTGTTAATACCACCTTCTTTCATAGCTAGAAGAAATAAACCTAAGAGAAAAAGAACTTTTAGTTCTGTGTGTGTATTCACTGCTTGTTTTTCCCAATCTAAGCCTTCCAAAGATTCTCCAGTCAGCCTGACCAAACAGCCTGCAAATGTCCTGGTTGTTTCTGCAGAGGTGTTTACAAGCACAGAGCAAAAACTTACAAACGCCTTCACTGCCATAAGCGAGCTTTGGGGGGATCTTCACGAAACGCCTCTCGTTTACGCACATCCCGATCAGAGCTTGGTCCATCCCCGCGATCAGCTGTCCTTTTCCCACGAACACGTTGAAAGTGGAGTCTCTGTCATAGCTGACGGCCCAAAAGGCGGGGAGAGAGAAAGGAAAGTGTAAATAATCTTTCCCGTAGTGAAACCAGCCTGAGAAAAGGTACCCACGGACAGAGAGAGGGCACGGCAAGGCAAAAAGCCTGCAGAGGAGTTACTGGCCCAGGCACAGTTCTTGCAGGGCTGGAATGTTTAAGTTGCTGTGAATATTGCCAGCAGATCTAGTTAGAGAGCACCAGCATAATAACTCTTCCCCAACTCCCCCCAAAATATATATTAAGTTTAGTGTGCAAAACAGCTACCAATTACGCTACTAAAAATACAGTTTATTCCATTGCTGTGTGATTGGTCCCTAAAAGCAAAACCCTACATAATAATGCCCAGGTTAAATACATTTCTTTTAAGTCAATAAGTTAAACAAGAGGCAGCATTGGGTAGCGTAAAAGGTACGTAGACTCTTTTAACCTGTTTCTTCCACTGCAAAAAACAAAAACAAAAACAAGAGTACAAGAGTAATAATTATAGCCATCCCAAGAGCTGTATGATATAACAACAGGAAAAGTGCTCTGAAAACCTAAGGGTTTTGCCAATGTTACGATAACTATTGTAGGTAATAGAAAGTCCAATGTAGTCTTGAAATCAGCAATGTAAGTGGTTTAAAGGCTGGCCAGTAACGGCATTAGGTTGGGAGATAAGTGATGGACTCGTGACTATGACTCATGCTCTCATCCTCTTCAATGTCAAAGTCAGCGAAGTCTGCCTATCAGGAGACTGTTGGGTGCTTTGGGGGATAGAAAAAAAAGTGCAGGGCATGGACTTTGGCTATTAAAAAAAACTGGCAGAGGCACCCACAGAGTTTCAGACACTGCACTGAAGAAAACAACTATAGGGCTCGGTTTATAACGACGAAACACTGGAAATGACTTAGAAGTTCAAGGGTATGGCACTGATTGCATTTAAAGCAAGGACATACAATAAAGACGGTATGGCCGTTTGAAAATAACTGACTTCTGTTATGGGGATGTAATGTACAGCATGAGGTCTACCATTAATAATTTGCATATTATGTTTCATATTTGTAAGTTGCTAAGAGAGTAGATCTTAAAAATTCCCATCATAAGAAAAAGATTTTTGTAACTCTGTCTGGTGATAGATGTTAACTACACTTATTGCAGTGATCATTTTGCAATATATACAGATATCAAATCACTGTGTTGTAAATCCGAAGCTGATATGCTATATCTCAATCATACATCAATTAAAAATTTGAAAGAAAACAGATTTCTAGTCACTGGCACAGAAGAAAGTATAGGTTACAGAACCATGGTAGAAAATAACCCCATTTTAAATTTGCTTATAGAGATGCACATGAAAAAAGCCACGAGATGATATATGAAAATATTATCAAGGATAATCTATGGGTAGATTTTGGGTGATTTAATTTGTTTTCTCTTTCATTCTCTTAATTTTCAAAATGATCATGTAATATCTGTGCACTAGAATGTTGGAATTTACCTCATTAGGATGCACTGCCCTTCATGTGGTTAATTGCTTCCACCCTTTATTAATTTTCTCTAAAAAAAGCTCAGGAGAACAGCACAGTGTCCCTCAGCACTGGCCAGAGCTGCTTCCACAGGCCCTTTGTCCTCCCAGTTTTATGGCCCATGTTAATGGCTTTCCCTTCTCCAAGGTCAGTGACCAGAAAGCAAGATTCCAAGTTCAGCCCAACAACCCAGAGGACAAAAGAACGCGGTCAGCTTTGTACCCTAGCCAGCTTTGCACCTCCACCCTCAGTCTCCGGGGGGATCGATACCCGCCCCCTCAAATGCTTGCTCTTGAATTTCACGTGGCCCAGTCTCCGTGCCGTGAACCAACATCACACTGGCGGGTCTGTGTTAATAATGGGCCAGAGCTCAAAGCTTCAGAGACTCTCCGGGCACAGAACATGTGCAAACAGCAACAATGCACAGGCTGAAAATTACTTTATAACTGCTTTTCATCTACAGCACCTGAATAATAACTACTATTTAGAGAGCATTTATGATGTCAGTGGCAGACTAACTTTTCCATACACTACCTCACCAGCTCCTCATACCACACTTTAAGGGGGGTGCTGATACTCCTTGAGGCTCCTTGGGGGTGAAAAAACTTCCCCAGCTCACGTCGTTAGCCAAGTGGGGGAAAAGCTAAAACGTGGGACTGGTCAACTCTCACCCTCCAGGCACACGGTCTCACTCGATGGTGTGTAAGAACCTCTGCAGCCTCGCAGTACTAATTTCTTCATTTGATGACTCCCGAGGCAAAGTGTTAAAAACAGAAAACACCCTTCTGACAGAAAATGTGTAATTTACATACGTGAGAAGCTAACAATGCAAGACCAGTCTTCTCTACTGCTGAAAACTCCGACCATCTGGAAAAATAAAGTTGTTCTGAGCAAATTTGTGCTGATCAGTACAACTGGCATACATTCATGTGCAGCGTCAAGCCCAGAACTGGTCATGAAGATCAAGCTCGGGAATGAGCAGTTATACAACCTGTCCCAGTATCTGGCTGACTGACACCTTTTGCAGACGTCCCAGGCAGGCCCTCCGGGAAACAGATGATATGCCCAAACTAGGCAGTTCCAAGTAAGTTCTATAAAAGGGGCTGTGTGCAAAAGCGTGTGTATGCAGGTCAAAAGACAGGGGCATTCAGTACCTCTGGGGCCAAGGAAGGGGTGCTATTGTTACAGCTGGGCCTGAAGGATCCAGGGACAGAGCGGATAGCTCAAAGCACCTGACAGAAGCTAAGGCGAGAGCTTTGGTCTAGGGACACCGTCCACAGTGACTCTACAGACGGAGACTCTGGGGAATAAATATCTCCATTTTGTTCATCTCCCTAGCGCTGTTCTTCACTGATGCCCCATTGGCTGATCCCAGCCAGGAGCCAGATGACAAGGGGGCCACTGATATAAACCTTTTGTATCACTGGACAGGGGAAAGTGGACCTAAAAAGGCAAATGGAGATCATCCATGACTTCTAATACTCCCCTCTCCTCTCCACCAGCTTATTTCTCTCTCCTGCTCATTCCCTGCTGCGGACCCTTCCATCACTTCCCCTGCCCCGTGTACCCTCCCCTGCCCCAAGAGGGTGCTGGGAGGTGGCCGTGGTACCCTCCGATGATGCTCTTCAAGAATATCAGCCCCAAACCCACTAAGACCGGAGACATCATGTAAAACCATCATACTCGCCTCACTAAACTGTCCACACACAGGCACGCATCCCTTGCAGCCTGTTCCTCATGATTAACAACTACCCCTGGGCTGTATTCTTTAAGCGTAAATACCGTTGCTCTATTTCTAAGTGTCCTAAGTTTCAATCCACAGTGAGGATGAACTTTTAGAAGAACATATGGCACACTGAACACACTCCCTCTCTCAGGCCCCCCAAAGCCTATTCCTTCCCCGAGCTCCTAAGTTCCTCTTTTGAAACAAGGACTGGGAAACCCAGGAAGGATACTTGTGCTGTCAAGAGATGGCATCAACATTTTGGAAGGTGGAAAGGGAATGGAGGAACAGGAATTGACCTAGAAGGGAAGGGACAGAATCCCCACGTGTGCAAAGGGGTGTGGCCAAGCACCTCCTGAGTGCCTCACGGAGCCTGTGGGCTGGAAGGTGTCCAGGTAGAAAGAAGCCTGGAGCTTGGGAGTCTGCATTCAGAGCAGCTATATCCCACCCCAGAGACCCTCCCCACTCCTAGCAGCTTGGCGACTATACTTTTAAGCTTTATGGAATTCCTTAACTGGTTTTTAATTACCACTTGCACTGCGTTTTAAAACTAATGTTTAAACTTTCTGCAAAAGTTGATGTGCATGTTATACTACTTGTTGCTGAGATTGTTCTGCCCTCAGATGCAGAAAGAATAGAAAAATGGCCATTACACAGGGAAGACCAAACTGTTCTGCGGTTAGAACTGAAGCTCCAAAAGGAAAAGTCAGCTCGCTCTAAGTGCCAGCTCCAGACCAATAAAAACTGAATACACTACTCCCCGATTTTTACTAAGGTATAACTGACAAATAAAAATTGTATATAGGTAAGGTGTGCAATTGGATGTTTTGACATATGTATACAGTGTAAGATTATTGCCACGATCGAGCTAATTAACATATCCATCACATCACACAATTACCATTTTCTTTCTTTACTGTGGTGAGAACACTTAAAATTTACCATCCAGGGTACTGCCCTGCCCACTGGCTCCTCTCTGAGAACCAGTCCTGCAGAAGCGATGAGCCTTCACTTACCACCTGCCTGGGGGGGCCTCTGACCCAGACGGGACCAATCAGATTCTCCCCTGGGAGTGTACACCTGAAACAGATTCCAGTTAGCGGGGCTAGACCCCAAAAATCATGTATGTGGTGTTGAAGTTTGCAGGCGCGTCTCCTTCGGGGAGAGGAAGAAGGAAGACCCTCTGCTACCCCTCAGGGCCATGCAGAAAGTCACCTGGGTTCATGCTCTGCACCCTCCGGAGGAATCAGAGATCCGTCCAAAAATTCCCTCCCTTTCTGCTAAAGCCAACTGTAACAGGTTCTCCCTTCCCCAAGTTGAGGGCAGGGATTTTATTTTAGACAGACTATTTTTTTAAAGAAGTTCTAGGTTCATGGCAAACGGAGTAGATACAGAGATCTCCCACATATCCCCTGCTCCTCCACAGGCATAGCTTGCCCCATTATCAACATCACGCCCCACGGTGGCCTATTTGTTACAATGACCTACGCTGACATACCATTACTGCCCCAAGTCTGCAGCTGACATTAGGGTTCATTCTCAGTGTTGGTCGTTCTGCGGGTTTGGACAAATGTATGACATGTATCCACCACTGTAGTAGCATACGGAATAGTTTAATAGTTTCACTGGAGGATAGGGAATTCTGCCTGTCTTATTTTCTGCTATATCCCAGCACCTACAACAGCAGGTATTCGATAAATATTTGTTGAATGAACAAAGAAATGAATGAATGAATGAATGAATGAATATATAAAATAAAGTTGACCTCTGTGGATGAGTCTATGAGCCCTGGCTGGGGCAGCTCAGTTAGTTGGAGCGTCATCCAATAACTGAAGGGTTGCGGGTTCGATTCCTGGTCCAGGCACATACCTCGGTGGCAGGTTCAATACCCAGTCTGGGCGCACATGGGAAGCAAACAATCAATGGTTCTCTCTCACATCGATGTTTCTCCCCCCCCTCCCCGAAAACAATGGAAAAATTGTCGTCGGGTGAGGACAATAAATAAATAAATAAATAAATAAATGTGAGTCTACTTGGTTCTCTCAGTGTGGTCCTCAGACCAGCAGCATCAGCACCACCTGGGAACCTGTTAGGAATGTGAATTCTCAGGTCTCACCCAGACCCACTGAGTCAGGAGCAGTGGAGCTCCCCAGGGCAATCTGATGCGTGCAGTTTGAATGCCTCTGTGTTAGAGCTCCCCTTGCCCCACCATGGGGCACAGAGTACGCCCACAATGACACTGAGCGTCTGGGCTGCAAGGGCCTGCAGAGAGGCCTGGAGGTTTGGAATGAACTGACCAGATGCTTGTTTTGCCTGCTAAAGATAACAGGAATGCATTAAATTCTGGCCCCCAGGAGAAAATCAGAGCAAAGAGACCGTCCCTTTCTTGGGGGCGGGGGGCGGGTGGTTGGTGCTAGGAATGCTACCTCACAGCGGACTCAGGACAGGAGAGGCTCACAAGGTGCTCCAAGACCTAGAATGTGAGGGCAGGGGCCCGCGGTCACCTGCAGGCGGGAGCTGGGGTCTTCTCCCTGGGTCTGCAGTGGCAGCCACCGGGGCGCATTACTGAGCCACCGGAGGCTCCAAATGAAGCCAAGCCGCGTCCAAGCCAGAGGCCATGGGCTGCAGGGCTGGGCTTCCTGGCATCTCCAGGTGCCCTGAAGTTGAAATGATACCAACTGCTCCCAAGCACCAGGCAGAGAGGCAGGAAGAAAGCTCTGCGGAAAGAAAGGCCTTCTGAGGTTTATGACTCTGGTCAGGGTGACAGCCATTGTTTCCTTCTGGGCAAAATCTCCAAATCTGCAGCCAAAACCCGAAACACCTTCGAGTTCTCCTCCCTCAAGATCTTTACTGGGAATAGCCAAGTCACGCCCTAAAACTTCATCAACTCCCAAAGGGACGGCGGCCCTAGAGAAAATCTCACATTAGGGAAGCACCTACTGTGCGCCCTGCCCCTTCCACTCCACTGTCCACCCTGCAGCCACAGGGACCTCTGTAAATTACAAGTCCAGGCCCTCGCTCCCCGAGCTAAAACTCTTCAAGGGTTTTCCATTGTCCTTAGCCAAAGTCCAAACTCCAAATGTCCAAGCAGGCACCGTCCCTCTAAAGCTGGCCCAGCCTTCCTCCCTGGCCTCCTCTCACCAGCGCTTTTACTGCCCCACCCCCCCTCCCCCGCCACTGCCACGCTCCCACTCCAAGCTCAGGCCACACTGAAGAGCCTGAATGTCCCCCAACACAGTGCTCTCACCGCCAGGCCTCAACTATGCTCTTCTTCTTCCCGGCCACGCCCTCCGCTCCCCACAACCCTCACCCCTCAGCATCTTCCTGTCGGCTGTAACCCTCTCAGGCCCTAGCCCGGCAACTCCTAGACTTCACCCTGACCCCACCCAACCCGACCGAGGGTTAAGCCTCCTGCATGTGCTTTCACAACTCCTTGATTTCCCGCCATCGTATACCTGGCACACCACAGACTCCGGCACTAAAATGACTTGGTTCACAGCCCCACTCCGCCGCTTAGCCGCTAGCTACCTTGGGAAAATTACTCGAACTTTCTGAGCCTCAGTCTCTTCATTCATAATGAGATATCTACCTCACTGTCTTATAAGGTTAAATGAATTCATTTGAGATTCAATGAAACATATGTAAAGGCAGGTGGTAAAAACTACATGTGAACTCTATGTGAGAAACAGAAGCGTGCTGTTATTTTTCCTGTACTCATCACACTAGGTAATTGCCTGAGCTACTAGTGGTCGGGGCAGACACTGCATCCAAGTTTGCTGAATGGATGGCAGCTCCTTTGTTCTCTTTCCACTGCCCCATGCGGTCTCCAAGTGGCTGCCGTGCCTACAGGGTAGAAAGTATTAGACAACTTGCTCTAGTGGGAGCTATTAAATACCATCAGCATGAGCAGGAAATTCTTCCCTATTTCTAACAAAAGAAGCAAATCAAAGACGACACACAAATGGTCAATAAACACATGAAAAGATGCTCAGCATCATTAGCCGTTAGGGAAATACAACTTAAAACCACAGTGAGACGCTACAGGTCCTCAGATGGTCCTGAATAAAAAGACTGGTGATTACAAGTGTTGGGAGAATGTGGAGCTATTGGAAACCAACCCCATGCAGGGCTGGTCGGAATGTAAAATGGGGCAGCCACGTTGGAAGACGGTTTGGCGGTTCTTCAGAAAGTTAAATGTGGTCACCATAAGGACCCAGCAATTGCACTAGGCATGTACTCAAAAGAAATGAAAACACATACCCACACAAAACCTTGTACATGAATGTTCACACATCATTATTCATAATAGCCAAAGAGCGTTATCAATCCAAATGCCCATCAACTGATAAAAAGAGAAGCAAAATGTGCTATAGCCATATAATGAAATATACCCCCACAAAAATGAATGAAGCACTGATATATACTACAGCATGGATAAACCCTGAAAAGGTTAAGTGAAAGAAGCCAGACACAAAGCACCGCAAATTGCATGATTCCATTAAGAGACAAAGAGTAAATTAATGGTCACCTAGGGCTGGAGGGGGAGGGAGTGACTGACTGCTAAGTGGTCCGGCTGCTCTTTTTTCAAGTGATGAAAATGTTCTGGAATTAATAGTTGTGATGGGGGCACATTTCTGTGAATACACTAAAAACCACTGAATTGTACACTTTAAATGGGTGAATTATAGTATGTGAATTATTTTTAAAAAAGAGCGATTGAAACAATAGTAAGAATGAGCATTTTTAAGTGCTTGCTATGATGCCCCGTAGTAGGCTAAACAGCTTTTATAGATTCACTCATTGTTTGTAATTTCAAAAAAGGCAAGAGAAGAGCATTTTTTAAAAACCCTCCCCAGAGGACATTTTTTCATTCCTTTGGGGGGGTGGAGGGAAGATACATCAATTGGCCGCCTTCTTGTAGGTGCATCGACTGGGGATCAAACCTGCAACCTGGGCATATGCCCTGAGAGTGAATTGAATTCGCAACCCTTTGGTCTACGGAAGATGCTCCAACCAACTGCGTCACACCGACCGGGGCGGTAGGAGCGTTTTAAAAAAGATAACTTCACTAAGGAGCCTAGGCCAACCTAGGGCACAGAGCAGACCTCACCAGTTCTCTGAGGCTAGTCGATTCGCTGAGAGGACCCGCACCTGAGCTGGCAACAAAGCCTCGGGGATGCGTGCCTGGAGCTGGAGCCAAAGAGGCCTGTTACCCTCATAGCTAAAGTGGAGTGAAGTGGGGCAGAGGGTCCGTGATCTTGGGGCAGAGCTAAGGGAAGGAATTGGGGCCCAAAGCTGAGATTGCTCTGGACTATCTCCCGCCTAAGGGAGGTTTCTGTAAGGCCAGGGGGAGGCAGTGGTAGTTAGCCGCACAGACTCCGGACTTGAACTGTCCAGGTTTCACCCGACTCCACTCAAACAAGTTTCTTAGTTTGAATGGCCTTAAGTTGTAAGAATTAAATGAGTTTATTCTATGGGAAACACTTAGAACTACTCTGGCACGTTGTAATATCTCCATAAACGTTAGCGGCAGCGCGTCCTCTGCAGGAAAGGGCCTGCGAGAAGGAACAGGGACGGGGCGGCGGGCGCACATCCACATGGACCGTCATACGTAGATTTCCCGTGTGTAAACGCGCTGGGCGGAGAGGGAGGGCGTGACTCGTCCCAACTGCGCTGCGCAAGGTCTTCCCCAACGTTTCAGTCCGGGGCGAGAGGACCCGGGGGGCACGAGGGCCGGGAGGCTCAACCCCCAGGCTGAGGGGCTTAGCGTCCGAGAGCTCCGGAGTAGGCGGAGGGAGAGGGAGGCGCGCGGGTCGCGCGGGGCGGAGCTGGGGGAGGTCCGTCGGGAGCGAAAGGCCTGCCCGGAGAGCGGGAAGCGGGAGAGCCCGCGGGGCGCTCGGGGCGCGGTACCTGGAGTCGAACTTCTGGCCGTCGGGGAACGTTCCCACGTAGTGGTACCGCACGAAGTCACCGCTGCGCACGGTGCGCGGGCACTCTTCAGGCACGAAGCGCTGTTCGATCTGCAGCTCCGTCTCGGAGCCCAGGCCCAGGCCGGCCACGGGCGCCGCCTGCCCGGTCACCCAGAGCAGCAGCAAGAGCAGCGGCGGCGGTGGGGGCCGCCAGCCCCGGGCCTTGAACGCCATCGGGGACAGCGAGGAGAGGCGCGGGGGGCGGGGCGGGCGCGGAGCCGGCGAGGGCTCGCGGGGCTCGGGCGGAGCGCTGGTCGGGCCTGGGAGCAGCTGCGTTTGCAAACGTGGAAAAGACTCCCGGCCCTCCCCGGACCGCAGCTACCACCCCCTCGCCCTCGTCCCCCGCCCCCGGCCACATCCGAGCAAGGGGAGGAGCTGCGGCCCCGCGCAGGGCGGGACCGCTGCGCCCTGCGCCACCGCCTGGCCCGCCCCGGGAAGAGGGCTGGCAGCAGAAGCGGGGACCTGTCCCCAAGGGAGAAATCGTGCACTGCTTGGGGCTGGGCTTGGGCCCAAAGTTGGGAGAGAAAAGCGTTTACTGCCTAAGCAGACCCGCTGGTCTCCGCCTGTCCCTGGCGACTCCGAATTTAGAACCAGGAGAGGCCCCTACGTGGCTGCGGATCCAATTACCCCCTACAGCTTTGGGGCAGGAGAGAAACTTAGATTTTTTTTAACGTAGTTACAAGGATGGATTCTACATTGAAAAAGGCTGAAACCACTCTTCAGGGTTTTGTTTTGGTGTGTTGTTTTTTGTTTTTTTTTTTTTTCAGAAATGTCTTTTAGTACTTAGAAAGGGGAAGGCATGTGTTGCCAGACTCTCTTGACGGTTGTACTGAGGAAAGTTTTAAATGGCCAACTGTGAGAGTTCCCTCAGCCACTGAGATGTACTGTGAGCTGACTTAGCAAACATCCCACGCGCTCTCACACACGTGACTAAGCCAGGTAGGACTTCACAATAGACTCAGATGCCCCCAAGAAATTCATTGGAGCAGTTAAACGCATTTAGCTTAGAAATGCAGCGTGGCTGTGAGAACAGCACAGCTGTGGAACAGCTCAAGTGCTAGAGCTCGAGTAGGAAGAGCACAGCTCTGAGACACCTCCTGGGGCCTGCCCCTCGGTGGGGCCCCTCTCCAGCTATACAGCTCTGCTCTGTCCTCTCCACTCTGCCACGCTCCCCTTTGCTCTGCCCAGGACCTGGCTCAGAAGACAGGAACACGATGCAGGCCCCCTTCAGTTCAGGCTTCTCCCTGAAGTTTAGTTTGCGTGAGAGGCCCCTGGGTAGAAGCGGCTGCTAGGTCCTGTTTTTTACATTTGGGCCCCCTTAGCCACCAGGAGTCCATCTTAGTAGGTATCTTCTTTCTCAGGGTCTGCAGAAGCAAAATCCTGATACTAGAACGTGGCAATGATAGCAAGTGAGAGAATCCAGGCACCAATCTAATGTATAAATAGAAATGCAGAAACACTAAATAAAACATGATCAAATGGAATTCAACAATTTATCAAAGGAATAATACATATAACATAAGGACTACCTACATGACCTTCAGCAGGTTAATTAACAGTACCCCCTGTAAGATGAAGATAAAACATGATAATTACGATTATTATAGATCTGATTCCATCCCAGGATCTAACGAGAAACTTCATGTAGCACTAAAAAAATGTTAATTGTTCCTAATAGAGCTTATTCTATTGAAATAGAAAACCTATTAATATAATTAATCCTATTAATGCTGTTAGTCTATATGGCTTGGGTAAAGCTGATCCCACCCCTGGGAACTAGGGTGGTCATGTGGCATAGGCTTGGATAGTCAGAGCACTGCTTCTCCCTGACCACAGTGATTGTTTCCATGACAACTACATGACCCTCGCTAAGCCAATGAGTATAGTACATGGAACTGAGAAAGATTTCTATCAGCTGGGGCTGTACGTTGTTGCTATTTTTGCCCCCACAATGGGAGAACCTCCATGAAAAGGAGGCAATACAAAGGAAAGTGAAGCTGAGAGAAAGAGAAATTTCTGACTTTCACATTTCAGCACCTAGATCCAGCCATTCCTGAAGTTCTACCCCGTGACATCTCAGATATATGAGACGCTAAATTCCTTCATTTTTCCCCATCAAACAGTTCGATTTGGATTTTGGTCTGTTGTTTCCAAAAGCATCTTGACTAAAATACTTGCTAAAATGGCATTATCAATCCCTGGGTCTTTTTGCTAAGAGAGCAAACCACTGTGTTAAGCAAATATTTGAATCAGTCAAGACTCAATGGCAAGTGTGAAAAAACCAACTCAATTGGTTTCTGCATAGACGTTTACCCTAAACTTTTCAGCTTCTTTGCTTGCTTGCTATAGGGTCACAGGTTGTGAAGAATGTTTTGTATTTTTTCTTTTTATATGTTCCTTCTTTTCTTTTATGTTAGGGGCAGATTCTGACCAGCAACGAAGCCTCGGCAAGAGGGAAAGAACTGTTCCGGTCCAGCTTGGTTGCTGTGGGCCACTTAGATTTCTCTCCAGCACACACCATGTTAGGCAGTGGGGTCTGCCCTGGCATCGCTCTGTTTACTGAGCCTCGGGGCCTCTTTGTTTTTTGTTGTTGTTATTGTTCATTTGTTTTATTTTTTATTATTGTGTGTTTTTCAGGGCCTCTTCCCAGGATCTCTCCCCGTGAGTTAGTGTGGGCCTCCTCACAGCAGGGGGACCTCCAGGGCAGTTGACCGTCTACATCTCTGAAGGCTTCAGGGGGGAAGATTTCAAGAGAACCAAGCACAGGCCAAATGACCTTTTCTGACCTAAACTATCTTCCACTCTCTACTGGTTACAAGCATATCACTAAGGCTGGTCTAGATTCAAGGAAAGAGGCACACACCTCACCTCTCCATGGGAAGAGTGTCAAGCTCATTTGTACAGGAGAAGTGAGATGGGAGACACAATTTGTCACAATGACCAAAGTCATATTATGTTTTAAATCACAATGTCAAGTTTTTGATGTACAGTAGGAGACATGCCTTTCCACAGACCCAGTACTAAAATCTGACTGAACACCCTTCTCGTAGTAGGATCTGACATGGTGCACTCTCTGAATGCTGCTGGGTGGGAATGGAGTCAGCACAGGGGCAGGACTAGTCTTGGAGACTATTGCCTTTAAGATGGGACCAAGTTTGGTCAATTTTGTACCTTATTCCAAATGGTGCATATTTTCCTGTAGCCACTGGAATACTCATGTGCGCTTAAGAGTTTGCTGAACAAAGGCTGCCTGATTGCTTTTCCTTGGCTCTGCCTTTCTAGATTCTGTAGCCCTCTTCCTTCTGTTAAGTTACATTTTCTTTGCTTCGCAAACATCTTCCTGAGACTACATTCTTCTTAATTAGATGGGAATGTCTTGCAAGGTATTTCCAGGCCCAGGTAACTTGCATGAACAACAGTTTTGGTTCATGCACAGATTATGGAAACCTGCTTTCCAAATTCTGGGACACATCAGTGTAACATAGCATGTCTGTTCATAGTCCTTTGTGTGTTTATTTGGATTTTCTGTAATAAATATGAAAGATCTCCCCAGATATTTTAGGTATTAATTATACTGAATGCCGCATGTGAGGGAAATATTCCCTATGCTATTACTTTCACTTCCTTTGTGGTTTATTCCATTATGTTAAAGCTAAACCAATTATTATAACCACATACCAGATAACACTTTTAAAATACAATCTAGGTAAGCACCTTACACTTTTGCATCCTGGCTTCCTGGCTCTGGGCCTCAGTCTCCCTATCTATAAAAGTTGTGTAACGTAATACATAAAGGTAGTACCAGAACTTAAGTTTTTAAAGATTAAATCCGATCCTATTAAGGGCTTAGATCAATGACCAGCACATAAAAGCACTCAGTATATATTAGCTTTTCATTTTCAGCACCCAAACCTTGTCTAAACGCAACACACACTCTTTTAACCAGGGATCGCACGCTCTAGCGGTCCCCGGGCAGCGGGGAAGGGCTCCCAGCCGCCGGCATCCATAGCCCTCGGCCGCCACCAGGGGGCGCGCTCCGACGTCCGGGAACCAACTAGCCTGGCTGCAGGGAACTGCGCTCCGAGCGAGGACAGAAGGCCGCGCCGCAGGGAGGCGCGGACCGGCAGTCTCGGCAGGAACACCTGGCTCGCCGACGGCCGCGGCGACGGTGGCGGCAGGAGGGGGCGCTGCGGTGACCCGCGGGCACGCGCGGAGGAAGTGCCGTCTTCGTCGCCGCCTGAGCCGCGCGGGCCGCGATGTCGTCCCGGCCCCGGCACGCCGACCCGGGGGCCGGGAGCGCACGGCGGGCGCGAGAGCCGCGGGAGCAGGAGCTGCAGCGGCGCCGGGAGCAGAAGCGGCGGCGACAAGACGCGCAGCAGCTGCAGCAGCTCAAGCACCTGGAGTCCTTGTGAGTCCCCGCCGCCCCCGGGCTCCTGCGAAGAACGGGCGCCGCCTGGGCGCCATAGGCGGGGTCCTCGGAGACCCGCCAGTGGGCAGGCAGCCCGGCTGCGGTTACCGATCCCGGGCGGCGCGCACTCTCCTGGCAGCCGCCCCACGGCGGGAGGGAAGGCCGGTGCCAGGCTCCCCCGGGGCCCCGCCCCCAGGCTCCGGGGTGCACGCGGGGGGCGGGGAGCGCTTCCGTCCGCGGAGCCGCGGTTGGTGTCCGCATGCCCGGGTGTCGGGAGTTTCGCTGGGGCTCTACAAGGCGCTCACCCTGGGTTTGGAGACAATACGCGAGAAGTGCACTTTGGTCCCGGTCCTTTCGCGGTGTTCAGGTCACAGGGCCCACTGTGAACCCGATACAATCTTTTCATTTGTTTCTAAGGGAAGTCCTGTAACGTTAGTGTGGAAAGGATAAACAGTGGAGTGAGGGACCTGTCCCTAACTTCTGGGAGGTGGCTGACAGGTAGAAGAGTGTAGACTTGCCCTCTAGCCCAGAGAACTTTAACCCGAATAAAGCGTGGAAGCTACAGAGAGGCCGACTCCAACTCAACAAAAAGAGTTAGCACCAGAGACGTACACTCTTGCGGGTGAGCCTCGCCCGACCCAGGACACTGCGCTCCCGGTCCCCGGAGGGGTCAAGGGGAGTCCATGTAACGACTGGGAGGAGGGTAGGCTGTGAAGGAGACAAACATCAGGTGGGAGGTTGCATTCATGACCTTCCCGTTCTTCTCTGCCATCCTGTGATTCTCTTAAGTAGCTGAAGAAGTCAGTGTCGCTTGGAGCTTTGACACAAAACGCATTGCTTTGTGGAGCCCGGCCTGCTCTTTCAGTCTGGCCCTTGAGCTGAGTGTCACCTCAGTAAGGAAGTGGTTGCAGGACAAGGGTCTTGCATGGCTTGCACCCACAGCCCTGGCCCCTCAGGCAGCTCTGTGTGGTGCTCTGTCTGCCAACTTAAAGGTTTCTTGCCCCATACACAATGGGGAAGATAATGTTTTTCCCCTTGTACATAAATGTAGTCTTCTTGTTACACAGAGCAAATTATTGCAGTCTGAATGAACATTTATATTTGGCTTCTCAGATGGTACAAAATAATGACCTCTACCAACTTTTTTTAAATATTAAGAATCCACTGCACCCTGGCTGGTGTGGCTCAGTGGGTTGAGAGCCAGCCTGAGAACCGAAAGGTCACCAGTTCCATTCCTAGGCAGGCACGTGCCTAAGTTGCAGGCCAGGTCCCCAGCTGGGGACACATGAGAGGCAACCCATCCATGTTTCTCTCCCTCTCTTTCTCCTTCCCTCCCCCTTCTCTAAAAATTTTTTTTTAAAATCTTAAAAAAAAAAAGAATTAACTGCAGAGACGTGTAGACTGAACAGTCGGAATGTAGAGAAGCCAGACCGTACATTAACATACGTCCATTTCCAAATCTTTTATGGGTAGGAGTCAAATACTACGTTAAACTTTGAGAATCATCCTTAATAAGTTAAATCAATGAATTGTTTAGCCCTTGGAAAAACTGTCAACTACCTTCTTTCAAACTTGTGAAAGCGGTTGTGAAATGGACTTTTTAGGCAATGCCATTGCCAATAATAGATTTCCAAATGTGTATTTCCATCACACTTCTTTTCATCTTGGCAACAACAGTTACATATTTTTCAGGAATTTGGATTTCAGTTTGGCCATATGTTGTTGTTTGTACAACTCCTGTGGCTCAAAGGACAGATTATTGGATTTATAGTTTGCACTACCAAACTCCCTGTGTAAGACTGTACCAGTCGTGTTTCTAATGAATGCTTCTAATGAGTGATACATTATTTGTATCATTTTCCCAATTTATGCAGATTTCCAGTGTTATTGCTAAGTTTTAGCTATGTCATGCCACCACTTTGTGTTAGAAAATACCTTTAGACGTTAGCTTTGAAAAAACACTGTCCCGCACCTTAGCAGCTAAGTCTAGTCATGCCCAGTTGGTCACAATGTGATATTCACGGAGCAGATCCTCCTCTGTCCGCTTAGAAGAGCTCTGGCGCTGGTTATTTACCGTCCACAAGCTGTCTCCTCCCATCCGTGCGGGACCCAGGCCTTGGTCTTGGTGATGCTAGTGGTCCAGGCTTGAGCTGCCCCAGGAGGCTGCCGGGAACATCAGCTCGCCTTCCACAGGCAGGGCGAAGCCAGCATTGCGGAGCGCCCTTCCCATGCGTGCTTGTGAACTATTCACCCGTGGGAAAATTGAGGCTCTAAGGGGTTAAGTAATTTGCCCAAAGGACACAGCAGGGAGAACAAATCTGAACTCAGCCAAGAGTTTTTATCTCCGAAGCCCGTGCCTTACTTCCCCTCGGCAGGAGTCACAGCCACATCGTCATAGGATGGGACATGTTGCTGGGGGAAGTTGGGGTCTTTTACCCCTAGAAAACAGAACATCTTTTATTGGGACTGTTATAAAGAGTTCTTGTCCCATACCAATATCTAATTCTCTCTTTTGATACTTACTAATGTTTTGCTGGTGATGAAAGTAATACATTGCATTACAGAAAACTCAGAAAATGAGCCCCGCTCTCACCATGTCGGGGCACCCACTTTTCCATGTTTCTGGAGCCAAGACACAACTTTAAACCAGCACCAGTGCCCAGGTGTCCTCACAAAATAGGCCTTGTGGAGGCATTGAACAAGCCTGGGATGTTTGGTTTCCTGTTAATAGCCAATAGTGAGTAAATACTTAAAAATGAACATGAGCGTTCAGAGCACATTTCCGGAGCTGGGATCCAGAAGCCTTTTCTGGCAGCTCCCACAGAGCTGTGGAAAGTCCAAGGTGTACTGGGAGCCAGGGGTGACTTGTGTCCTCCGGGCCCTGGCAGCCTGCAGACGACACGGAAAGTATGTCCCCACACCGCCGATCATGTAGTAAATCTAGCAGTTTTCTCTAGTGGATGCTGCCTGTCATCAAGGCCTCCTGCAGGGGCTCTGTGCCTGGGACCCAGTAAGGTCGGAACGGCGTGGGACACGGTCAGAGAGCCGGGAGTAGGGGCAGCTGGCTTGGTCTCACTGTGGGCTGGGGCAGGTGGGAGTATCTTGAATGGAGACTGGCATGAAAATGGGAGGGGGGCCACTGGGACAGATCACCTTCACTCCTTCCCCTACCAGGGTCCCTTCCCTCCGTCTCTTCTCCTTCCCTCTGACCCCCTGCTCCTCCTGCAACCCCCTCCCCTGTCCTCCCCTCCCCCCCCACCCCCCGCCACCCAGGCCAGGAGAGTGCAGACCACTCAGCAGCCCAGCCCGAGCCTCCTCAACATGGACTAGGTGAAAGTTATGCTAGGTCAACAGCTGTAATGACAACTATAATGACAGTTTGGAACTGTGATGAACTCAGGGGTCTGCTAACCTCTCGTTTTCCCTGTAACCTTTTGCTTTCCCTTCCTCCAAAAAGAAAGTCACTGTGCTAAGATACCAAGTTAGTTACAGTTTCAGTGAATTGAAGTTCTAGATCTCAGCAGGATGTGGTATAGCGTCGGTTTATTTATCTGTGGTCTCTTGAGTGCTGGGCATATTTTATATTACTTGTTTTAGACCTAATGTAGTTTTAGGTTTTTATTAAAAACATCCTTTTTATTTTAGCCTATAGTTGCTTTTTGCTCATTAAAATGTGTTATGGGCTCAAGGTTGATGATGGTTTTTTTTCCTTTCTAGCTATGAGAAACCTCCTCCTGGGCTTATCAAGGTCAGTGTGAAGTTCGTCCATGTGGTTATCCTCGTAGATGTATTAGACTCAGGGCTCAGACTCAGTCACTTGTTATGCAAACAGCTGCCTGTGGTTTTGAACCTCTTTTCATGATGACCCTGTTTCTTCCCTGCAGATGCCAGTCATACACTTCGGGCTTTGTCACAGGTCCAGTCCTTTGTAGAAATTTCATCAGTGTAGTGTCTGTTCCCTAGGAAACCAGGGCAGGCCCACGTGTGCTCCTCAGCCATCGTCACTCCCCTTCTCTCCCCCTCCAAGCTCTGCTGTCCAGGTGCTGACTCTGCACCGGTGCTGGTCCCCTGCATGTCACCAGCTCAGAGAGCAGCAGACCCTCAGGGAGCCCAGCCTCGAGCCCCTGGTGCAGGAGCCCCTCCTCCAGCAGCCCGGCCCGGGTCCCCGTCTCTTGAGGAGTGGGGCTCAGAAGAGTGGTTAAAGGCCAAAGCAGCCTTTTCTGTCTAAAGACTTACACTTTAAATTTAAAAAAAAAATTTAAGAATTATTTCATTGTAAATTTAACATTCATGGGAACTGGACAAAAAACCTCCTTAATTGTCACTATAGTTCTTCAGTGGTGAAGATGTGTATCAGAGATACAGCATGTGCATGATGAGAAAGCATGGTAGCGGCCCTCCAGGCAGAATAAGCTATTTCAATACAACACGCCGTTTTTATTACCCTAGATAGCGTTGCTTAAAAATTCTTATACTTTGTCTCATTATACAAAGAGTTTGAGGTAGGGACACCTCTTATTTTTTTTAAATCCTCAACCGAGGATATGTTTATTGATTTTAAGAGAGAGGAACAGAGGGGGAGAGGGAGAGAGAAACATCGATGTGAGAGAGAAACACCAATTAGTTGCCTCCCGTACGTGACCCAACCTAGGGGGACAAACCCACAACCTAGCTATGTACCCTGACCGGGAATCGAACCCACAATATTTTGGTTATGGGATAATGCTCCAACCAGCTGAACAACCCGGCCAAGGCTGTAGGAAACCCTTTGTTTGATCTTAGAATCTAATATGCCTTTGAATTTAGATAGAGCTCACAGATCATTCCTGTAAGAGGGACAGATTTCTATTTTACTTCACTAGTAACTTTTCTCTGAGAACAGCTGCTTCGTTTTCATGACGTAATTCTTCTGGTGCAGTTATTTCCATTTGTCTGTCCCGTCTCACTTGTCTTTCCAGTGCCTGGGAGGGTAAGTCATGATGACCGTGGAAGCCCCTCCTCCCGAGGAAGCCAGACGATGCTGTGTTCTGACGCAAGTGGGAGAGAATTCCGGCGCTCATAACTATATTGTTTACACGCTGTTTCCTGTTTCAGGAAGATGAGACCAGGCCAGAAGACTGTATACCAGATGTACCGGGCAATGAACATGCCAGGGAGTTTCTGGCTCACGCGCCGACAAAAGGACTTTGGATGCCGCTGGGGAAGGAGGTCAAAGTTATGCAATGTGAGTGTGGAAGTGCGTCCAGTCCTCCTGAACACACGCAAGTTATAGCCCACGAGTCACGAAGCACATTTACCTCGCTCTCATCACAGCGCTGTTAACGTCACAGCATGGTCTGTTTTAGAGATAACGACACCAACTTCCTTGTGTCAGTAAGCGGTCCGAGGTTACCGGTGCAGCAGAGGTGTGACTCCAGGGCTTCTGCCTCCAAGTGCGGTGGTCTTTCCACAGGATGGCAGCTGCCCGCGGGGCGCCCTCTGCGGTAACATTCCTGCAACAGCAAGGCTCTCCTGCGTAGTAATGCCTTGAGGCCCAGGGGTGCATTGGAGGGCAGGTCCCTGTGGGTCTTGCCGCAGTCAGCCACCCTCCCTCAGTGGTGCTCAGGTTTCTGCATGGAAGCTGAGGGGAGCTACAGGCCACAGAGGGTGGGTTTGGGACTGGCAGAGCTTTGCGCGCACATCCCCCACCCCCTGCCCCTCCAGGGCAGCAGCGCCTTTGGCATTTGAAGAAAGGGTCCTGCAGCCTTTTAAAGACATTTGTTTCTACAGAGAGTCTTCATGCATGTAATTAAAATAGTTCCTTGTCTCTTTTTCTCCATTCCCACTTAAAGCTCTTTTGGTTGGTTATTTTGACATTTCTTATGTCTAGGGACTATGCTCACGCCGTATTGATTTTTCAGGTCTGTAGGCATTATCTGTTGACATTGTACCATGGAAGATGAGAATTTAGCTCACTCCCGCTCTCATACACATACACATACCCTTATTATATCTCATCTTTCCGAGAATAGTTTTATCATAATTTTGGTTTGGTAAGTCTTTAGCATTTGTTTTCTTATGATCATATTCAGAGCTGAGGCATATAGCAAACTGACTGCTTTTCCTTTCAAGCATCCTGAATAATTCTCTCACTTTCCCCAGAATTAACATATACTGATTTCTCATTCAATCCAGAATCATTCCCAAGCTTGATCCTAAGGCTCTCAAATGCTTGAGGTATTCTGTCTATTTCCTCTTTCTAAACATGGTTGCTGCGATGTCAGCCCTCCAGGGGTCTCGCTTCACTGTGTGTTATGAATTGAATATCTGTGTTCTGCCCTCCTGCACCACAAATTCATATGTTCAAGCCCTAACTCCCAGTGGGATGGTATTGGGAGAATGGGTCTTTGGGAAATAGTTAGGATTAAATGAAGCAATAAGAGTGGCTCTCCTGGTGTGATAGGCTTAAATGAAGACAAACCAGCCCTGGCTGCTGTGGCTCAGGGGACTGAGTGCCAGCCTGCCAACTGAAAGGTCACGGGTTTGGTCCCCAGTCAGGGCCCATGCCTGCGTTACGGGCCAGGACCCACTTGGGGGTGTGTGAGAAGCAACCTTCTTACATCGATGTTTCTCTCCTTGTCTTTCTCCCTTTCCCTCTTTCTAAAAATAAATAAAATCTAAAATATGTATATTTTTTAAAAAGAAGAAGAAAAACCGAGAATTTGTCCTCTTTCTCTCCACTGTGTGAGGACACAGCTGCCTGTGGCAGGAAGACCTGAGGAGGACTTCTCCGAAACTGACTTGCTGGCACCCTGACCTTGGACTTCCCGTCTCCAGCACTGGGAGGAAATAAAGGTCTGCATTTTGTTGCGGCAGCCTGAGCTGCCTCTCACACTGTCCTTCTGCAGCTTCCCTTAGCCTCTTCCTGAGTCGCAGGTCCTGCTTCCTGCGCGTTGAGTCATCTTTGTTGTTATATTCTCTTGTTATGGTGGAGCGCCTCCTCTCACAACTTTCTTTGAAATGGATTTGTAGGGGATACCATTTTCAGGACCTTAATTTACAGGAAACATCTTTATTTTACAGATCCTATAATTTTCTGTGTTAAAAAATCAGTTTTTCTGGTAAGACTTTATATGTAGAAACAACTGATGATGCTACAAAAATAAATTTGGAACTAATAAATGAATTTAGTAAAGTAGCAGGATACAAAGTCAGCACGCAAAAGTCAGTTGCATTTCTCTACACTGACAATGGACATTCTGGAAAGGAATGTACAAAAATGATTCCATGTACAATAGCATCAAAAAGAAAAAAAAACTTAAGAATTAACCGAAGAGATGAAAGACTTATGCAATGAAAACTACAAAACATCACTGAAACGAATTAAAGGTAACATAAATAAATGGTAACGCATCCCATGTGCATGGATTGGAAGACTTACTATCATTAAGATGTCAGTACTACCCAAAATGATCTCCAGGTTCTATACAATTACTATGATAATACCGATGATCTTTTTCTTCTTTTTTTTTTTTAAATAGAAACAGAAAGCCCCATCCTAAAATTCATGTGGAATCTCAGGGGACCCCATATGGCCAGAAGAATCTTAAAAAAAAGAGAACATAGCTGGAGGACTTATACTTCCTGATTTCAAAAGTTACAGTAATCAAAATAGTGTGGTACTGCTATAAAGACAGACATATGGACCAATGGAACAGAATAGAGAGCCCAAAAATAAAGCCCTGCTTATATGGTCAAATGACTTTCGACACTGATGACAATGGTGCCAAGATCATTGAATGGGGACAGGACAGTCTTTTCAACAAATGCTGCTGGGAAAACTGATTTTCATTTGCAAAAGAATGAAGTTGGACCCTTGTCTAACATATACAAAAACTAACTCTAAATGGATCAAAGACTTAAATATAAGACCTAAAACTATAAAACTCTTAGAAGGCAACATAGAGCAAAGCTGCACAAAGTTGTATTTGGCAGTGATTTCTTGGATGAAACACCAAAGGCACAGGAACCAAAAGAAAAAAATAGACAAATTCAACTTCATGAAAAATTAAAAATTCTGTGAATAAAAGATATTGTCGATAGCATAAAAATGCAATCAACAAAATGGGAGAAAATATTAATATTTGCAAATCATATACCTGATAAAGAATGTACAAAGAATTCCTAACTCAACAAGAAAGAAACAGCCTGATTAAAATTTGGCAAAGGACTTGAATAGATATTTTTCCTAAGAAGACACAAGTATATATACAAATGACCAATAAGCTCACAAAAACATGCTCAACATCACTAATCATTAGGGAAATGCAAATGAAAACCACAATGAGGTTCCGTCTAATACCCACTAGGATGGCTACTATCAAAAACAAACAAGCAAACAATGTTGGCTAGGATGCGGAGGAACTGGAACCTTGGTGTCGTGTTGGAGGGACTGTGACTAGTACAGCAGCCACTACGGGAAGAAGTATTGTGGATCCTCAAAAAATTAAAAATAAAATTATTATGTGACCCAGCAATTCCGTTTCTGGGTGTATACCTAGAAGAACTGGAAGCAGGGTCTTGAGATGTTTGGACACCCATGTTCATTATCACCCATAGCGGCATTATTCACAATAGCCAAAAGGTAGACGCAACTTGCGTCCATCAACAGATGAGTGGAAAAACAAAATATGGAGTCTGCATACAATGAAATAACATGCAGCCTTAAAAAGGAAGGAAATTCTGCCATGTGCCACAACATGGATGAGCCTTGAGGGCAGTTTGCTAAGTGACATGAGCTAGTCACAAAAAGACAAGTACTGTCTGATTTCACTTACATGACGTACTTAGGGCACTCGGAATCATAGAGACGGGAAACAGAACAGTGAGTGCCGCCGAGTCCCTGGGGTGGCGGGGAATCGGGAGTTCTTGTTTAATGGGAGGAGAGAGTCAGTGTTACAAAAGAACAAAGTTAGGGAGATGGATGGTGATGATGGTAAACTTTATGTTATATGTACAAGTGCACCTCGTTTTATTGCACTTCACCGATGCGTTATGTACAAATTGAAGCCAAGTCCCTCCACCACCAAAACAATAACAACTCACTGTATTGTAATACTCTCTTTGTTGTGGCGTCTGGGACCACACCCATAATATCTCTGAGGTCTGCCTGCAGTTTACCACAATTTTTTAAAAATTCAAACAGCTGAGAGTAGTAAGTGGAATCCCAACGTGGGTTCAAACTGCACGGGTCCACCTTTACACAGATTCTTTTCAATGAGTATCATCCATGTGTTTTCTCTTCCCTATGATTTTTTTAAATAACATTTTCTTTTCTCTAGCTTACTTTACTGTATATGTACATAATACATATAACATACAAAATATCTGTTAACCAGCTATTGATGTTACCCGTAAGGCTTTCTCAGTCAACAGTAGGAAGCTGAGTTTGGAGGGAGTCACCAGATCCATGTGGATTCTCAGCAGGGGTCTGGGCTTTTTGAGGGTTTTGCAGGCCCTGCCCCCGCTCCGAGGTCCAAGGCTGCTGCCAGGCTGCTGCATGGTTGTCACGCTGCTGCTCGCTAAGACTTGGAGGGGGTTGGGAGGAGGTCCAGTTAAAATGCCCGGAATTTTGCTGTTCTTACCAAGGTTCACAGGTTTTCCTTGCATGGATGCTCCTCGGATCTTGCCAAACCTTTGGTTAGTTCCCAGGGGGTCCCGTAAGTGGATTGGGGCCACTGTGTGATGACCCTCAGTGCTTTTCTGGAGGAACACACTTGTAGAGACTGCCCCTTGGCCATCCTTGACATACTTCCTGGGTCTTCCCTTTTGAAAAGAATTCTCTTCATTGTCATTTTCCTGATTTCTCAGGAAGGGAATGAAAGCAGATCAATGTGTTTAGATGTTATCTTTACGCAGAAGTCTACAGTTTTGGGTGGTGCTTTTTTTTTTTTTAAGTTTAAAAATCACTGCTCTGATGAGGTAGTTGTATTTCACTTACCGTTTTATACAGTAGCTATTTGCATTGACTTGGAAAATAAGCGTTTTTGGGTTGAGAGCAGAGCCAGTTTTACCAAGAAAGAAATGACATTTTAGCTTTGGGGAACCTCAGTTGTGCCAGTCAGAGGTCTGCAGGGACCCCATCAATATGTTGACATGGTCATATGATTTTGTAAAATTTGTCAAGGCAGGATATTTTTTTGCCGAAAGATCCCCCTACCTCCCAGTCTCCACAAAACTTAGATTCATCCCAGACATTGTAAAAGACATATATACTATTTAGACCTTCATTCATTTTATTGGTTGTAGTGTTATCCAGAACAGTGGTTCTTAAACTTTAGTATGTCTACAAATCACCAATAAATCTTTGGAAACTCAAGTATGTGTCCGTATTTCTGAGTGGACCTATGACTCTGCATTTGTGACAATCTCAATTTTCTAGGGTCTTACATGGTTCATTCACTGATTGCATTTGCTTTTAGAATTGGAGTTTAATGACAAAAAAACTTGAATGTGATCTATTCATTCTCTATCTTCATTAAATGAAACTGTGTTATCTTACAGAAATATTTTTTTCTTTCTTCTTAGGTTGGCGTTGTAAACGGTATGGTCACCGAACGGGTGACAAAGAATGTCCTTTCTTTATCAAAGGCAACCAGAAGTTAGAACAGTTCCGAGTAGTAAGTAGACCCCCAGAGTGTCCCTTTATGTTTACAGAAGATGGTGAACATCCATGGATCAGGGAGTCATGAGTGAACTGGAGGTTCACAGAAAATATATCCACAGAAACCTTTAGGCCAAAGTACCTGGTGGTAACTGGATCTCTGTTAAGTTGCGTTTGTGTAGCAGATTAATTCATGAACAAACAGCTAACTTCCTATTAAAGTGGTACTTGCTTATACCTTGGGAACAGTGCTTTTTCTGAAGCAGATGTTTTTTATTCAATAATTTTGTTAACTTAGATAAAAAAAATCATGTTTCATCATTAAAATTTGGGTTTTAGTTTCCTAGTCTTTATCTAAAAATTAAATGTCTTTAAATTATAAGATGGAAGTGTGTATGTAAGTTATATATGCTCTCTATTTTTTAAAAAGATTTTATTGATTTATTTTTAGAGAGAGGGGAAGGAAGGGAGAAAGAGAAAAACATTGGTATGTAAGAGAAACACCGATCTCAGTTGTTTTGCCCACACGCCCCAGCTGGGGACCTGGCCCACAAGCCAGCCATGTGCCCTGACTAGGAATCCAACCAGCAACCTTTGGGTTCCTAGGCCGGCACTCAGTCCACTGAGACACACCAGCCAGGGCTATGTATGCTCTTTAGATGACAGTAAATGAAACCTTCCATTTCCTCACTTTATTTTAACAGTTACTTCCCCAAGCTGTTAGTTCATCATTCAGTAACTGCTTCTGCAAGTGAAATAAGCCGCTCTCTGGATGTACTGAGGTTATCAGCATATGTCAAACCAGGACCAACAGACACCCTCCAAACTTTCTTAGACATTTAAATTATTGTTTTAATTTTTAATAATCTTAAATAATTTTTTGATCAGTCATTCCACTTCTAGGTGGAATGTCATTTTTTATAGAACATAGAATGGCAATAAACCTCAAAAACTTTAAACATATTCTTTTTTCATTTTTTGACTCAGAAATCCTACTTCTAAGAATTTACCTTAAGGACATAAGAGAACATCAATATGTACACAGCTGTTTATGTATGTATCAAGATTACTTTCATAATTAATTATATGATTGAAAAATTGGAAACCAAAGAAAAAGAGGAAACAATAGTCCAATGTATCAATAAAAAATACTGTGACAAAAATTATTTAGCCATTAGGAATTATGTTTTAGAAGAATGTGTAATGTCGTAGGAAAATGTTCATGATAAACAAGTGAAAAGCAATTAGAGTTGTATATATAAAAATTATAAAATATTATAATTTTTTATAAACTATGAATAATGATTGAAGAAAAGAGACCAGATGTTAATAGTAATTATCCTTTGGGTAGTAAGGTAATAGATTTTTTAAATTGAAATTTTGTAACATCTAAAATTTCTGCAATAAATATTCCTTCTTTTTAAAAATTGAGGTAATTCACATACCATAACATTTCCCATAAATGTGTTCTTATTTTTAGTAATTTAAGTCATTTTAAATTATCTGTACTTCCAATATGCTTCCACATTTTGTTTAAGGTACTTAACATATTTTTGTTTACCTATAAATGTTTCATTCTTATATATCATCTCTTATAACTCATTTGTTTTTTTTAAATACTATCTCTTAGTCACTTATCCACATATAACAAAGAGAATTACCTCAATATTTCTCCCTTGAATAGTGTTTCATGATTCTGCCAGTGTTTATTTCCTTATAAAGGATATTTAAATTATATCCTATATTTTTCTAATTGGAAAATTCTTTTCACAGCCTCGATGAGTTTGCAGTGATGGTGAACCTTAGGAAGAGTTAGAACATGTCTAAAAAAAACTATACCAAACTGGGAACAAAAATAACTGGTTTTAGTTACATAGGGATTTGCTATTTATTTAACTAATGCTCCATGAAGTTTAACCCAGCCTTAACCTTGTCTAACCCTCAAGGCACATGAGGATCCCATGTATGACATCATACGAGAAAATAAAAGACACGAGAAGGATATAAGGTGAGGTTCTCCTGGTGATAACAATATTCTCTTAAAGTTTTAAATTATATTAAGTGGGAAATAACCATTCCAGTATTAGAGGAGTGGTTCAATAAATAATATACTTCAATGGTGGTTCAATAAATAATATACTTCGATGGTGGAGTACTTGGAGGGCAGGAGTAATCGCTGCCCAGGTCCGTGTGCAGGGGAATGAGCAGGTCAGCCTGTTCCACTTGGGTTAACGTAAAGCAGTGGGCGTGGCCCAGCCTGTTGAGCCACCGATGGTTGAAGTTGGCAGCCGGTGCTGTGATGTCTGGTTCTGCTGCATGATTGGTTCTCTTACCTCTGATTTAGTTTATCTTCTCCAATGTCGTTAGGGATTTGAGCTATTATTAAAAATTATTCTTAAACATGAATAATGAGAGAGTGAAAAAACAGGAAGGTTTTTTCCCACTAGATCGGACATCTTGGGTTACAGTTGTTGAGGAGGTAGAGTACCTAGGATGAACTGGAGCAGCGGGGGAATGGGCAGGAAAGCATGTATCTGTTGGAAGTTGTAATCGCAGGGACTCTAGGAACATGCAGGCACGCCCTCTTTGGGGCACGCCCACTCGAATCTCCTTTTCGGTGAATTTTCTGTCTTCTAACCTGTAAGGGTCCCCACGCCACTTGCAACCCGGGGAGCAGTGGCCAGCAACAGCTCATCCTGGGCTGACCCCCTGAACCTGTCTCCAAGGCTCCATTTTCTCTGACCTTCCAGTGACCTGACAGCAGCCCCACCTGGGCTTTCCCCTGCTGTGGCTTCTATCCTAGGCCCTTCCTTGCGTCACTGTCCCCAGCTTTCCTAAATGTGTCCTCAAAATAAAAGAAGAAACATGCAGAAATATTTAGGACAATGAAAAGAACACAGATTGCTGGTCCACTGGTTACAGTCCTGTGAAATAGCCGTGGAAAAAGATGAGAATGGGGAAAACATGCAGAAATAAAAATAAGTACTGTGCTTCATGAGGTGATTATAAAAATATATTTTAAAAAATACATTTTTAAGTTACGGTTTATGGTCCTTTGACCAATCTTATCTGTTTAGGATACAGCAGTTAAAGCAACTATTGGAAGATTCCACCTCAGATGACGATGGAAGCAGCTCCAGCTCCTCAGAGGTTAAGGAGAGACACAAGAAAAGGAAGAAGAAAGAGAAGCATAAGAAAAAGAAGAAAGAGAAGAAGAAGAAGAAACGAAAGCATAAGTCTTCCAAGTCACACGAGAGCTCGGACTCAGACTGACGGGAATTGGGCTTGTTCAGACCCTCATCTGGGAGATCAGACACAGGGACCAAAGAGCAGGGGACCGTGGGGTCAGAGAGGACACCAAGGAGGGTGTCTGGTGCCACACCCGTGTGTTCTCGCCTACCTTCCAGGGAAGGTGTGGCCAGCGGAGCGGGACCCTCCCAGGTGCTCGCTCAGGACAACTGCCAACTTCTGGCAGGAAAGCTCTTGCAGTGTCGTCCTGCTGGTCACTGGGGTTGGCGATTCCTGAGAAATGGCAGGGTGGCGGGACTGAGGGGGTCTCTGAGGACGCCCCTCCAGGCGCCGTCACCTTCCACGGCGAGGCTGCTGAGCTCCCAGACTGCAGGCTGGACCTTCCTCTGTTGCTGATCATAATAAAAGGTCATTATTTATTTTTCAAATGTGTTTTTTTTTAATTTCTGAATAATACATGCATGTGTTCCATATTTAAAAGGTACATAAGGTTTAATTATGAAAAACCTTCCTCCTTCCCCAGCTACTCAGTTCCCTGCCCCAATGGCTAACAACATTACCATTTTTTGCGAAGATGTCCAGAAATATTTTATGTATCATAAGCAAATGTGGAGTTTTTTTCTTTTAACATAAATGCAAGCATACAACACGACATTTGTTGGCAGTTTTTAGTTTTCATTTTTTAACTCAACAGTGTAAAGCACGTTGGGCCTTGCTGCACACAAAAGTCCCGTGCTCATAAACCCTGGCATCGTGGGTTGAGTTGTTTTGTTTTGTTTTGTTTTGTTTTTGAGGAGGGAGTTGAATAGCCTGTAATAACAAAAATCATGAATTTAACTTACTCAGCTCTTACTGCCATTTCCCCATGATTATTATTTTTCTCAGAATAATTAGAAAATTTTTGAGGATATAGGGATTACTGTACTAGGTCAACTACCCACATCTCAAAGTTCATCTCCCCCCGTCGGCTAAGCACAGCCCCCGCCCCCGCAAATGTCTCACTTTGTGCGCAGCCAAGGCAGCTCAGGAGGCTGGGAGGGTGTCTGTTCTCTGACGAGCCACAGTGGAGCCAGGGGGTGACTCAGGGACAAGTGCCCCTCCCTCTCTGCCAGGGTCTGTTGCAGCTTCCATCCTCAGACTGGAGCTCACCATTCCCTCTTCCTGCCCCTTCCCCTGGGGGATGGATTCCCTGTCTCTCTTTTTGTTTTGTTTTTTTTTTCCAGATTTTTATTTATTTTTAGAGAGAGGGGAGAGAGGAAGAAAGAGGGAGAGAAACATCACTATGAAAAACACGGATCAGTTGCCTTTCGCACATGCTCCACCTGGGACCAAACCCGCAGCCCTGGCACCTGCCCTCACTGGGAATGGAACCAGCGACCTTTCACTTTGCTGGGCACACCTTCTAACTGAGCCACACCAGTCAGGGCTCCCTGTCTTTTGAAAAGAATAACCCATGCAAACCAGGCTGGCTCCTTCTCAATGCTCTTCAGTAACTGCTCCTAGACTTGGCCTTAGAAAGTTTATCTCAGTCACGCAATTGGCCCAGGCTGGAATGTCCAGGGCTTGTCATTTCCGAAAACTCCAGGGCCAGTTGGTTCAGCCACCCTTACCCACATCCTGGGCATCCTCACTCAGCAAGCAGCAGAAAATTCTCCTTCCAGAAATTGTCTACCCTGCTGATAATGCCGTTTATGTCGAACATATTCTCTTACACGCCTGGCCAGGTGGCTTAGTTGGTTGGATCGCTGTCCTATACACCAAAAAAGTTTTCGGTTTGATTCCCAGTCAGGGCACATACCTAGGTTGTGGGTTCTATCCCAGTCAGGGCATGTACAGGAGGCAATTGATTGATGTTTTGTCTTTCACATCGATGTTTCTCTCTCTTCCTCTCTGTAAAATCAATTTTTTTAATAAAAAAAAGCATATTCTCTCACAATATGGAAGAAGAATATCAGTGATTCTCAAACTGGGTGTTGTCAGGTGTTACCTTATATTTTGGACTCCATTTTTCTAAGCCTATGCTTGCCTTTTTGTCTGGCCTCCAGGGTAAAGGGAAAACTCTGGGAAGGGTTACACGTCAGGGCAGTGCTCTCTGGTACCACCCTCCTCTTTTCCGGCTTCCTCTTCCATATACTGGCATTAGCATCTTCCCCACCTTCTAGGGTCTAACATCTTCCCCAGTTATGGCCCTTTAAGTGCCTTGAGTTAGGTCACCCACAACCCCGGAAACTCCTATTTCATATGTGTCAGAAAGGCAATCAAATTCAACTCATTTATACTAATGAACTCCTTAACACACCCATGAAAGCCTAGCCCTTTCACTTCCTCGGGAAGGAGCTGAGTTGTTGGAGCATCTGCTGGGGAGTCGGAGCCGTGGTACGCCTCCCCAGTTCCCATAAAAGCAAGGACGTGGGGCCAGCTGCACTCACGTCTTCCTAGTCTTCTGCTCTCCAGCCAGTGCGTTCCTTCTCAGCCGTTCCACCTGAGCTGTGTTCAGCTGGGCTTGGAGCGGTGGGGACAGTGACCACAGGGCAAACCCTGTTCATCTGAATTGGCGCTAAGCCATTTGCCCACAAATTCTTGAGAGCTCTGTGGCGGGCTCCACGGAAACACCCCAGCGATGCTGCTCTACGGAGCCCAGGCTCTGCTGGAGGGGGTGAGAATGTTGCAAGTCTCATGTGCTGTGTCCTGAAACGGCCTAGGAGAGTGAGGACACAGGTGATGCTGGCACACACAGGAGAGTGACGTCATCCAGCCTGGGCTGGGGATGGGGGTCCAAGGTGTTCTCCTGGAGTATCTAAATGAAATCTTGGAGCAGGGGTGAGGAAAAGTCATAGACCTCATTCAGACCAACCTTGAAAGCTGTACCTTTTGTTTGCCTGCTTCCCTCTCCCCTGAAATAATGTGCTGCTGTCACTTTGTACGACGCACTTACACTGTCTTGAGAGGCACGTGGTTACCACAGGGAGTTACAAGTAAAGGCCATTTTCAGTTCAGGGTACCTTAGAGGCAACGCGGGTGGGCTGGTCTGTATGTAGCGCCATGTTGTCACTAAGGGAGCCTTTCTGGAACGCACTCCCGTGCCCTGCCACAGCTGCCCTGCCCTTTCAGATGACGTTGGGAGAGACTCCAAACCACTTACACACATCTTGGCACCTCTTTAGGCTTAACCTGCATGATTTATTAGGAGAACATTGGTTCTGCAAATTGACCATTCGGTCCCAGGCTCTGAGTATAAAGGACTTTTGTTTGCCTAAACGCTTCCTTTGTTTCTAGGAGTGGTCACTGGTTGGATGACTATATGGTACTAGAACCCACCCTTGGGTACATCGATCCGCGTTGTTATCAGGGACCTAGGAGGTGCCTGGTCTCTCCATCTATAAAAGTGAGCAAGGAATAGTCTCTATCCTCAGGAAAGGTCTTGTTACGGAGAATCTTTCATCTATTTCTTCTCTCCTCAGCTCCCCCGTCCTTTTCACCTCATCTGAAGGCCCCTGGAGACTGTAACACTGGAATGAAGGCAGAAGTATATGCAATTGAGCCAACCTATTGGTGGTGTTCTCAGTGCTGTGAGCATTAGGGGAAGGGAAGAACATGTGTAAGAATCGCACCCATATGGAATTCAATTTATTTACTGATTTACAACTTATCATTCCAAAGGCTTTATAATATCACAATTTCTTAACTTGGTTGTTGGCATAAAAGCTTTATTAGTTCAAATCAAGAGAGATATTGTCCTGGCCGGTGTGGCTCAGTGGATGGGGTGCTGGCCTGTGAACCAAAGTAGTGCCGGTTTGATTCCCAATCAGGGCACAGGCCTGGGTTGCAGGCCAGATCCCCAGTGGGGGGGGGGCGTGTGAGAGGCAACCACACACTGATATTTTGCTCCCTCTCTTTCTCCCTCCCTTCCTCTCTCTCTAGAAATAAATAAAATCTTTTTTTTTTTTTAAGGAGAGATATCAATGTTCCAAACCAAACATCCTGCCCTTGCACTATTTAGCTATTCTTTGTAGCCGGAACTCAGAAATTAGTTTCCTATGAAATAACAATGGAATAGTACATTTCCTTAAATCGGTTGGGTAAGAGACTCAAGATATCTCATAGAGAGAATCATTACCAGTATCTTCTGTCTTCATCTTTAGGATAAAGCTCAAGGTCTTGACTTCTCCTCTCTTCCTTTCTATTCCCTCTGGTGATCAGCCAGGGAGCCTTTCCAGCTCTGCCTCCTGCCACCGGCTGAGGTCCCCCTGAAGGGCTTCATCAGCTCTGTTAGGCTGAACCAGGTCACAGAGGGGAAGGCCCCTGTGGGGAGCTGTCCCTCTCTCCCACTTCCTCTTCATGTGCTTTCTCAGGGGAGTGGTCTGCCCCCTCATGGAAGTTATTGAGAACACCCCAACTCCACGTGAACTTTGTCCCACCCCATTGGGCTGCACCATGTCGCCTGGCATGGCTTTACCATAAACCAGATCACACGAATCCGTAGTTTCTTTCCAAGACGTCCAGCGCTGTACTACACGGGATCCTTCTCCCTCTTCCATCCTCAGTATCTCTTTCTCAAGGTTCCCTGAGGCGTGTTTCTATACAGAATGTCCCTACAGGAGCTCTTACCATATAGCTCCCTCTTCTGGGCAACAGAAGACAAAGCCCCACCTGTTTCGCAGGAACGTGGTCAGTTTCTCTGTCAATATCAGCAGTAGAGATATTGGTCACACTCCCTGTGTCATGGCTGTCGCCTTCTGAGGGTAAGTCTTGTTTTTGACTCGTGTTCTCAGCCTGCCGAAGTTCAGTTCGAGTCTCTTTCGTTTCATGTTCTCCCTGCAGCCACAACAGTGCTGGGCCTGGGCCTGATCATAACACGCAGGGAGCACAGGTCTGTGGTTGAGCATAGTGGGCAATGGGGACTGAGGTGCGAGGAAGCCAGGACACCCACTGAGCACCACTGAATTGGGAAAACATAGACGTCCATTTCTGAAACCCAGGAAGAAAACATGGTAGGTAGTCATTTTGTCTCCCACAACCCGTCGCAGCCCTCAGACCAGGTGCATCCGTATGACACACCATGGAGTTGCTAACTAATGGCCCCTCCATTCCTCCTGGGTATCCCAGGATCCACCAATGATGGGACAGAGTGGAACAGCGGGACCCTTCCCCGCACACCCTCCTTTGGCACT